CCCCCCCCCCCTTTTTTTTGAGTTGGAGTCTCACTGTCACCTAGGCTGGAGTGCAGTGGCATGTCACGGCCACTGCAGGCTCGACCTGCTGGACTCAGGTGATACTTCCATCTCAGCTTTCCAAGTAGCTGGAACTACAGGCACATACCACCATGCCTAGTTAATTTTTTGATTTAACGTAGAGATGAGGTCTCACCATGTTGCCCAGGTTGGTCTTGAATCCATGGACTTAGGTGATCCTTTCGCCTCACCTCCTCCTCCGGAAGTGCTGGGATTACAGGTGTGAGCCACCATGCCCTGCTTCTCCCTTTCTTTCTTTCTTATTTTCTTTTTTTATTTTTTCTTGAGTTGGAGTCTCACTCCTTTCGCCCAGGCTGGAGTGCAGTGGCACGCACACTCATGGCCACCCCAGCTTTGACCTTCTGGGCTCCAGTGATCCCTCCGCCTTCGCCTTCTGAGTAGCCAGAACTACAGATGCGTGCTGCCATGCCCAGCTATTTTAAATTTTTATTGTAGAGAGAGGTTTCACCAAGTTGCTGGGCTGGTCTTGAACCCACAGGCTCAGGCAATCCACTCGCCTCAGCCTCCCAAAGTACTGGGATTATAGGCTGAGCCACCGAGCCTGGCCCCTTTCTTTCTTTTCACTGCTCTTTTTCTTGCCAACAATCTTGAAACTTCAGAAGTTAAACACTGCCTCCCAATCCCTGCTTTCTTTACTACTACAGCTGAATGCTTAGGAATGTACATTATTAGAAAAAGTGTTGTATCTTTCTGGCAATTGTAGAAACAAGGTGGCAGCTACCTAACCTCATATCATTTGGCCACATCAAGCAAACTATTAATAAGACATTGTAACATATGTAGAATAATAACTGCAGAACTATTGAATAGACCTATTATTTTTTTCTGAGAAGTGACCGGAACAATATATTCCTCAATGCTCAAGGTGAAACCAGAAAAGGATGTTATCAAAACCATTTAGGGCTTGGTGTGGAGACTCATGGCTGTAATCCCAGCACTTTGGGAGGTTAGGTGGGAGGATTTACCGAGCAACATGGGGAGACCTTGTCTCTACAAAACAAAAACAAAATCATTCAGGCTGGGTATGTCTATAATCCCTGCACTTTGGGAGGCCAAGACAGAGAACTCTTGAGGCCAGAAATTTGAGACCAGCCTGAGCAACGTAGCAAGACCTCATTTCTACAAAAATCAAATTTTAAAAAGTAGCTGGGTATGGTGGTGCATGCTTGTAGTTCCAGCTACTCAGCAGTCTGAATAAGGCAGGAAGATCACTTGAGCACAGATATTGGAGGCTATAGTGAGCTGTGATTGCACCACTGCACTCCAGTGTGGGTGCTTCTGTCTAGGTTTTGGCTGGCAGATTGCCTTAGCATTATACAAATAGGTACCTTTTAAGGAAAATACCAGTTACACACGGTGATGGACTTTTAACTTCTTTATTAAAAATGAAGAGGAACCAGGCATGGAGGTTCATGTCTGAAATCTTAGCACATTTTGGAAGCCAAGACAAGAGGATTGCTTGAGTCCAGGAGTTTGATGCTAGCCTGGGCAACATAGTGAAACCTCTTCTCTGCAACATATTAAAAAATTAGCTGTGTATGGTGGTGCATGCACGGTGGTGCATGCCTGTAGTCCCAGTTACTTGAGAGGCTAAGGCGGAAGGATTTCTGAGCCCAAGAAGGTCAAGGCTGCCTCTGTGATTGTGGCACTGTACTCTGCCTTGGCAACAGAGTGAGACCCTGACTCAAAAAAAAAAAAAGAAATGAAAGAAAATTAAGTACTAGAGGAGTTTAGAAGCAGAGATACGAGGGGGACTCCCCAAAAACCAAATTTTATGTATAAAAAATTTATTGTATTTATTCATGTATTTATTCTTACATGTTTAAACTTCAGTTACCTTCAAAGTACTCTCTGTTTGATGTCATATGCCTATCATCAAGTCACTTTTTCTGCTGCTCAGAACAGTTTTTGACCTCATCTGTTTGGATGTCTTTTAGTACTTCTGCCGATTTTTGTTTCACCTCTTCCTCGACAGCAAAATGTTTCCCTTTGAGGATTTTTTTCATCAAGGAAACACACAAAAGTTATGCCATTTTTGGTCAAAAACTGCTGAACACACAGCATGGTGTGGGCAGGTGTATTGTCATAGTGGAGGAACCAGTCACCTATTTGCCACAAAAAAATTCACTGAAGCCAAATACAGCCTCCCACAGCAGTGCTGGCTGGTACACTGATGCCGATGGGCTCCTAGAACACTCTACTGGGGGAAGCCTGTACTACAAGAGGCCCACCCTCCAAAAGGATAATTCTGGGTTTTTTGGGAAGAGTTTCCCACGTATATTATTGCTGGCTTGTAGGTAGCATGGGTGTGATTAAATTTAAGCTGTGTGGTTGTGAAGCACCAGCGGAATAACTTGTGTGAAAGGTTCTGAAAATAATGCATTATTATATAAACGTAATTGATGTTTTACCAAACAATATGGAGCATGGTGCTTTGTGTAAGATAAGGAGAGCTCTTCTGGTATGCTGATGGTGTAATTATTACAGCATATTAAAGAATGTTTCAGAACTTCAGCTGCCTAAATAGTACCACTTGAAACTTTTAAATGGATACTTCTCTCAGTTGCTTTCCTGAGTGGGGATAACGGTGGATCTGATCTCTTCTCTTTTGTCCTTGCAGCTCTATTATCAAGTCCTAAATTTTGGAATGATTGTCTCCTCGGCACTAATGATCTGGAAGGGGTTAATGGTAATAACTGGAAGTGAAAGTCCAATTGTAGTGGTGCTCAGGTAACAATTAATTTTTATTTTCAAGGCATGGAATTACATGACATTGCTTGGGGAAAAAAATTGAGATATTGAATGACTAGTATATCAGTCCCTTAGAAACTACACATTCCTTAAGAGGGCCTGGAAGAAAATTGGTTACTGCTTCTTAATTGTGAGATATTGGCACCTTGTTAGGCACTCCCATTCAGAACCCAAAGGTTACTATGTGAACCTTATTTTTGACACATTCCTTAAGAAAGAGTTTCTTTGTACTTTATTTTCCTGAAATTCTTCTATATTTTTAATACTCCTCACTTTGATACATCAGGCCTGATATTTCCTTGTTAGTTCATTAGATTTTATAGTACCTCCACAAATTAAGCATAGCATGTTCTCATTGTCAATACAGAAGCATCACTAATTTTAATTTTCAAGTTTTCTGCTGACTTTTAAATATCACTTCTGTAGAAGACCCCCAAGAATTTTGAGGTATTTATACTGTCTCTTAGGGTGACTAATAGTACTGAATTTTTTTCTCCACCCTGTGTCTCTATCTTTGTACTCATACTCTTAATGATTTTAAAACCTAATTTAGTAACTCATTTTTGGAGAATTACCACTTGGTTATTTAATTGAACTATTATAGTTCTGTTTTATTTGGGGCTTAATTTTTGTTGTTGTTGTTTGTTTTTGTTCTTGTTGTTGTTTTTGAGTTGGAGTCTCATTCTGTCGCCCAGACTGGAGTGCAGCGGCCGCTCCCGGCCACCACAGCCTCAACCTGCTGGGCTCCGGCGATCCTTCCGCCTCAGCCTTCCAAGTAGCTGGAACTACAGGCGCGCGCTACCACGCCCAGCTAATTTTTTTTTGATTTATTGTAGAGATGAGGTCTCACCAAGTTGCCCAGGCCGGTCTTGAACCCACGGGCTCAGGCAATCCACCTCAGCCTCCCAAAGGCGCGGGATTACAGGCTGAGCCACCAAGCCCGGCTCCAGTTTACTTTTTTAATGGTCCTCTTACTACACACTTTTATATGTTTTTAGTGGCTATCTGTATCTGAATTCCTAAATCTTTTTCTCATTCAATTTTCTTTTCTAAGTCCAGACTCTTGTTTTCTCCTTATACTAGACATTTCCACCTAGTTGTTGCCCAGGTACTTGAAACGCTCCATAATAAAAATGAAATTCATCTCCTTTTCTTAAAACTTCTCACTCCTATTTCTGAGCCTGTCACTGCCATCTGCTCATTTGCCAATGTTAAAAACCTAGGAGTCATTCTTTTTTTTTATTTTGAAAAAATTTAATTGACATAATAATTATACATATTTTGGGAGTACATAATGATATTTTGATACATACAATGTATAGTGATCAGATCAAGGTAGTTAACAGTCATCTCAAATATTGATCATTTTCTTTGTGTTAGGAACATTCAATATCCTCCTCCTAGCTATTAGAAACTGTATAACATGTAATTGTTAACTGGAGTCATCCTACAGTGCTGTAGAATACTAGAACTTATTTCTTTTGTCTAGCTGTACTTTTGTGTCCTTTAATAAATCTAGAAGTCATTCTTTGAAGTTAGAATTATCCTTAGGAGTCATTCTTGATTCCCCCTTCTGTCATATCCAATTGGCCACCAAATTTGATATTTTCCTCTCTCTGTTCTAACCTTTTATATTTGTTCTCTCTTTTGCTGTTCTATTTCAAGCCATCATCATTTCCTGCCTGGGTTGTTGTGGTGACCTTTAGAGAAATGCTTTTATCATCAGAAAAAAGTTAATATATTCTTATTATACAAAATGTTGAGGCTGGGCTTGGTGGCTCAGCCTGTAATCCCAGCACTTTGGGAGGTCGAGGCAAGTGGGTTGCCTGAGCCTGCAGGTTTGAGACCAGTCCGGGCAACTTGGTGAGACCTTGTCTCTACAATAAATCAAAAATTAGCTAGGTGTGGTAGCACTCACCTGTAGTTCTGGCTACTTGGAAGGCTGAGGCGGAAGGATTGCCAGAGCCCAGCAGGTCGAAGCTGTGGTAGCCGTGAACGTGCCACTGCACTCTAGGCTGGGTGACAGAGTGAGACTCCACCTCAAAAAAAAATGTTGAAAACACACACAAATCTAGATGAAACAAAGTTACCCATAATTCTAAGGCATAATCACTATTAACAGTTTAGTCTACTTTTTATATATAGTTTTTACATAATTGAGGTAATTTTGTATGTGTATACTTAAAATTTTTTTTCTGCTTATCATTTGCCTGTGTCCTTATTTACAAAGAGTTTGTTGCTCCTGGGTGCGGTAGTTCACGCCTATAATCCTAGCACTTTGGGAGGCAGAGGAGAGAGGATTGCCTGAACTCATGGGTTCGAGACCAGTCTGGACAACTTGGCGAGACCTAGGCTCTACAATAAATCAAAAAATTAGCTGGGCATGGTGGCGCACACCTATAGTTGCAGCTACTTGGAAGACTGAGGCAGAAGGATCGCCTGAGCCTGGCTGGTTGAGCCTGTGGTGGCTGTGAGCTTGCCACTGCACTCCAGTCTGGGTGGCAGAGTGAGACTCTGACTCAGCAAAAAAAGATTTCTTGTTGTTGATTATTTATTAAAAAAAATTTTTTTTAGAGATGGAGTCTAACTCTGTTGCCCAGTCTAGAGTGCAGTGGCTATTCACAGGCATAATCATAGCGCACTATATCCCCATAGTGGTACTATAGCTTTCATCCCTGGCTTGTAGTGATCTTCTTGCCACAGCCTTCTGACTGGCTGGGACTATAAGTGTGTGCCACCATGCTTGACTGTTTACAAAGACTTTTTTTTTTTAAGTCAGAGATGCACTGTGTCACCCAGGCTGGAGTGCAGTGGCATGCTCATAGTCATTGCAGCCTCGACCTGCTGGGCTCAGGTGATCCTTCCGCCTCAGTCTTCCAAGTAACTGAAACTACAGGCATGCGCCACTATATCCAGCTAATTTTTATGATTTATTGTAGAGATGAGGTCTCACCATGTTGCTGAGGCTGGTCTAGAACCCCTGGACTCAGACAGTCCTCTCACCTCACCCTCCCAAAGTGCTGGAATTATAGGCATGAGCCACCGCACTTGGCTCCTACAAAGACTTTTGTTTTTGAGTTGGAGTCTCAGGGTGGAGTGCAATGGCATGCTGCTCACGGCCACCGTAGCTTGGACCTGCTGGGCTCAGGCAATCCTTCTGCTTCAGCCTTCCAAGTAGCTGGAACCACAGGTACACGCCACCATGCCTGGCTAATTTTTTATTTTATTAAGAGATGAGGTCTCACAAAGTTGCTGTGGCTGGTCTCCAACCCCTGGGCTCAGGCAATCCTCTTACCTAGCTAGGCCTTCCAAAGTGCTGGGATTACAGGTTTGAGCCACCGCGCCCGGCCCCAAAGACTTTTAAATAACATTTTTAACAGTTTCTAAGTATTCAAGTATAATAATAACTTGAGCAACTGGTCTCCCAATCTACCTTCTTATCTTTTCCAGTTTACTCATTAATTCATTTAATATTTGAGCATGTTCTCCATATTTTATAGCTTCTGAAGTGATCTTTCTTCAGTGTACATGTGATTATGGTGTTCCCTGTTTGGAATTCTTGAGTGGCTCAAATGCAGCTTGGCACAATGAGGGTGGACTCTGTTGGACTCCCTTGGGTCAAATCTTTCCTTTATTTATATATAACTACGTCTTCTTAGCCTCTATCTCCTTCTCTATAAGTTAGGATAATAATACCTACTTCACACAAATGTTTTGAAGAGTCTTTTAAAAAAAGTAGACTAGCACTTTGCATACAATAAAGTACTCAATGAAAAGTCATTCAACCAGAAAAAGTCAGCTATTTTCTGCTTTGTGTATCTCTCAAGGAAGGTTTTATTTGAACAAAGAAAAAGTAATCAAACCAAAAACCTGAAAACTGTGTGTCTAGGCTGAGCATGAAGGTTCACGCCTGTAATCCCAACATTTAGAAGGCCCAGGCGGGAAGATCATTTGAAGCCAGGAGTTCAAGACTAGCCTGGGTAACATAGTGAGATCTCATCTCAACAAAAAATTTAAAAATTAGCTGGGTCTGATGGCTGGCACCTGTAGTCCCAGCTACTTGGGAGGCTGAGGCAAGAGGATTGCTTGAGCCCTGGAGGCTGCAGTGAGCTATGATTGTGCCACTGTACTCCAGCCTGGGTGATAGAGTGAGATTCTGATTCTTAAAAAAAAAATAGCCGGGCTCGGTGGCTCAGCCTGTAATCCTGTGCTTTGAGAGGCTGAGGTGCGTGGATTGCCTGAGTCTGCGGGTTCGAGACCAGCCTGGGCAACATGGCGAGACCTCATCTCTACAATAAATAAAAAATTAGCTGGGCATGGTAGCGTATGCCTGTAGTTCCAGCTACTTGGAAGACTGAGGTGGAAGGATCGCTGGAGTCCAGCAGGTCGAGGCTGCGGTGGCCAGGAGCGGCCACTGCACTCCAACCTGGGCGATAGAGTGAAACTCCAACTCAAATAAATAAATAAGTAATAAATAAGTAAATAATAAAAATAAATTAAATAAGAAAACTGTATGTCTAGAATATTTTGTATAATGCTTCATCAAACACATTCCTTCTTCTGCCCCATGAAAAACTATAACAAAAGTTTTAAGAATACACATTTACTGAAAATCCATATTCCTAGTGGTTCCCAAGTTTTGTTATACATTGGAATCACCGGTGTATATTAAAAAAAATACTGACGTCAGCCAGGCGTGATGGCTCTCACCTGTAATCCCAGCACTTTGGGAGGTCAACACAGGAGGATCGTTTGAGCCCAGGAGTTTGAAACCAGCCAAGGCAGCATAGTGAGACCTTGTCTCTACAAAAAAATCCAAAAATTAACTGGGTGTGGTGATGTGTGCCTGTAGTCCTAGCTACTCAGAAGACTGAAGTAGAAAGATCACCTAAACCCAGGAGATCTAGGCTGCAATGAGGCATGATTGTGACACTGCATCCCAGCCTGGATGACAGAGTGAGAACTCCTCCCTAAAAAATCAGATGCATGCCTCCCATTCACAGATATTCTGATGTAAATTGTTTGACACATGACCTGCAATAGGATTTTTTTCAGAGTTCCCCAGGTTATTCCAATGGGCAGCAAAGTTTGGGAACCCACTTCCATATCCCCTTACATTTTTGTTTGAGACTAGAGTCTTCAAACAAAAATGTTTGGATTTCATCGTTATTCCTATATTGAATTTTGTTTCCTACCTTTCTGTTTTCTTCTTACTTAAGCTGTTGTTATTTAAAACTGGAGCTTGAGTTCCTGAAAATACACTGAGAGGCTACTTTTTCACAGAAAAACATTTTATTAATTAATGCAAATATTTTAGAATCTTTTTAGAACTTGGTGTAAGGTGTAACAGGTAAGAGGTAATAAGACACTCTGTAGAAGTTCGTCTCTCTTATTACCATAAAACTGGATTTTTTTCTTGGTTTCTGAAATTCTTGGGCAGAAATCTCTGCTCTAGTCCTTGGTTTTCTTTTTTGTTTCCCTTATTAAAATAAATAAGTGAATTGATAACACATATTATCTCTAAGCTGGCTGTTCTTTGACTTGCTGAGCTGTTTTTCCTTAATGGGTTGAACCTACAAGGTCATCTTGGTCTGTATCTTTATAAATGGCAGAAGATGATCCAGTTCTCATTTGAATATATGAATATGTTTAGTGTTTTCAGATGAAGTGAGAATAAGGGCATTGTTTTTAAAGTTCACTCTTTTATATTCTGTTTGTCATTTGAAATTTTAAAAGGTTAAGGCATTAGTAACACTGCCCTTTTCAAGATTTAAGCTCCTTTGAATAGTAATGCTAGAAATGGAGTTAGTTAGGGAAGGCTAATAACTGAGAAATTTCTTTGATGTACCTTCTTAGTCTAAGGAAATCATATTTTGAGAACAATATACATTTATGTTGATAATAGTTGTTAAGGTATTGAGTATACTCCAAAGGTAATACTTTTGATTTTGTTGAATATCTAATTTTGAAAGTAAATTTACTCTCATATTTTCTTTTTGCTATTATATTCTTCTTCCCTTCCAGTGGCAGCATGGAGCCTGCATTTCATAGAGGAGATCTTCTCTTTCTAACAAATCGAGTTGAAGATCCCATACGAGTGGGAGAAATTGTTGTTTTTAGAATAGAAGGAAGAGAGATTCCTATAGTTCACCGAGTCTTGAAGATTCATGAAAAGTATGTGCAAAACTATATGTTTTTTGTTTTTAAATACTTTTGTTGAAGTATTTGCAGTACTTAGTGTTTTGTTTTGTTTTTGAGACAGGATCTCACTCTGTTGCCCAGGTTGGAGTGTAGTGACATGCTCACGGCTGTCACAGCCTTGACCTGCTGGGCTCAGGCAATCCTTTCTGCCTCAGCTTTCCAAGTAGCTGGGACTATAGGTGTGTACCACCATATCTGGCTAATTTTTTTATTTATTGTAGAGACGAGGTTTTGCTATATTGCCCAGGCTGGTCTCAAACTCCTGAGCTCAGGCAATCTTCTCACCTCAGCCTCCTAACGTGCTGGGATTACAAACGTGAGCCACTGCACCTGGCCAGTGTTTAGTTTTGACAGCCTAAAGATTGTGAAGAGTGAGGAACCCCTAGACCTTTCTTCCAGTTCGTTTTTATGAATGTCTGAAGGTTTAGTGAACATTTGGAAAACTAAATAGTTATCAATTCATTTATTACTCTGAAGGTTTTTCCAGAGGTTTTTCATGGTTCCCTTCCACTTCTCAGCCAGTCAGTAGCCCTGTATATAACTCCAAGAAAACATGACATATTGATCCTAAATAGAATATTGTAATATAATGGAATGAGGTAGCCCTCGTCTTTCAAAATATCTTTTTTCTTTTGAGTTGGAGTCTCACTGTCGCCCAGACCGGAGTGCTCCCAGCCACCGCAGCCTCGACCTGCTAGGCTCCGGTGATCCTTCCGCCTCAGCCTTCCAAGCAGTTGGAATTATAGTCATGCACTACCATGTCAAAAATATCTTTAAGACATTCTAAGAGACATTCAAAATAGGAATAAACTTACCACTGGATGTGGTGGCTCACACCTGTAATCCCAGCACTTTGGGAGGTGGAGACGAGAGGATTACCTGAGCCCATGGGTTCAAGACCAGCCAGGGCAACTTGTTGAGACCTCATCTCTACAATAAAATTAAAAAATTAGCCGAGCGTTGTGGAGCATACCTGTAATTTCAGTTACTTGGAAGGCTGAGATGTAGGGATTACCTGAACCCAGCAGGTCAAGGCTGCTGTGGCCATGAGCATGCCATTGCACTTCATCCTGGGTGACAGAGTGAGACTCTGACTAAAAAAAAAAAAGGTTGGGCATAGTGGCTCACACCTATAATTCCAGCACTTTGGGAGGCTGAGGTGAGAGGATTGCCTGAGCCTATGGGTTCAATCAAGACCAACCTGAGCAACTTGGTAAGACCTCATCTCTACAATAAATCAAGAAAAATTAGCTGGGCATGATGGCGCACTCCAACTCAAAAAAAAAAAAGAATAAATTTACCTGCCATCATACCTCGGTTGGGATAAATGAATGAATGAATGAATGTAGCCAGGCATGGTGGCTCACGCCTATAATCCCAGCACTTTGGGAGATGGAGACAGAGGATTGCCTGAGCTCAGAGTTTCAAGACCAGCCTTGGCAGCATGGTGAGACCTTGTCTCGGCAATAAATCAAAAACAAATCAGCCAGGTGTGGTGGCACGTGCCTGTGGTTCCAGCTACTTGGAAGACTGAGACAGAAGGATTGCCTGAGCCCAGCAGGTTGAGGCTGCCGTGGCTGTGAGCGTGCCACTGCACTCCGGCCTGGGTGACAGAGTGAGACTCTGACTCAAAAAACAAAACAAAATAAACAAAAAGAATAACTGTATCAACTTTTTAAAATTCCCAAGAAACATTCTGAAATCTAAGTTGTTCTTTTAGATATGAGTCTTGTGTTTTGTTCATTCTCAGCAATGCTTGTGAACAAAGCAGAACCACCTTTCCCCTGAATGTATCAGAGAGAAGCAAATTAAGCCCAGGCCCTGCTTTGGCTAGAGCAGAAGTTCTTCATTTTTACGTGTAATCCTTTGAAATTGAGTGAATTCATAGACTACTCTAAAACAGTTTCAGGGCAGATTTGTTGACAGTTAATGTTAATTACAAATTTCTTAAATTTTAAAAATAATTTTTAACAATTCTGAAGATTTTAAGGTATATGGTACTTGTAATCTGGGATTCTTTTAGAGTCCCCCCCTCCAAGCTAAGATTTACCAAGTGGATATTTTAGACTCTTGAGATACCTTTAACTAGCAGACTTGTTTAGATAATAGACCCTGTTAATATTCAGAAGTTTTCAATTTCCTTTTTTCTTTTGGGGAAACTAAAATACCTGGTTGGAAGTATCATTTGATTTAATAATCGTATTAACATTGTTCTTAAGTATGAGGCTAGGCTGAGTGTGGTGGCTCATGCCTGTAATCCCAGCACTCTGGAAGGCCAAGGCAGAAGACCTCAGGAGTTTAAAACTAGTCTGGGCAATATAGTGATACCATGTCTCTATAAAAACATTTTAAAAAATTAACCAGGTATGGTGGCACAGTGGTACTTACCTGTAGTCCCACCTACTTGGGAAGCTGAGGAAGGAAGATCACTTGGGCCCACAAGTTTGAGGCTGCGGTGAGCCATGTTCATGCCACTGCCCTCCAGTCTAGGCAACAGAGTGAGACCCCCAACTCAAAAAAAACAAAAAAAAATGAGGCCAAATGACAACTAAAATGTGTGTGTTTAGTAAGTTCATCCTATAGGAGCTCTTATAATTTGTGAACACTGGCATGTGATCAAGTATTTGGAAGGATAAAATTTTACCATTGGAGTGACTTAATCCTTAGCTTTGCTTTCCCGTGCCAATAGATACATTATTCTGCCCCCATCTGGCTTTATTTTTTCTTATCTGAAAAGTGGTCTTTTCCTCCTTCCTAATATCACAGTAATGTAATGGATGAATTAAATTCAAAACACTCTGAGCTCCTTGGAGGTAAATAATATTAAATATTTGATCCCTGTGCTAGCAAGGAAGAAATCCTTTATAAAGATGCCTTCAGTTAATATTTTGAGTCTATAAGTTGTGAATTGCTCTAATGAGAGCTGGTTGCCACCAGAGAATATTTGTTCCACCATTAGGCAGATGAAGAGTAACTATGGTTCTTCAAAAACGCTAGAGTGGTCTCTTCTAATTACATCCCAAAAAGGGGATATTGAGTGCATTAGTGTGTGTGTTTGTTTTGCCGACAAAACAAGGTTTTTGGAATAGCCTGGGTCTCCTGTAGTATCCTTTCCCTTTTCTGGGCAGTTTTGCATGTCCTGACTTTTCTCTCCTCATATCAGATTTTACTTTTGTGTCTCTGTGGGATTGATGTATTCATGATCAAATTATTAATAACTTCCCACTGTTTCTGATTTTCATGCTTCCAGCTAACTCCCTCCTAGCACCTGTCCTCTTTTACCCTTCAGGATTTTTGAGACATTCTTTCACTTACTGAATTATCAGCTACAGATTATTTTTCTCTGTATATATTTGCATTTTTTTCTAACTAGAATCTCATTTCAGTGCAAATGTGACTATTTGCACTTCACTGTCTTTGGTGTTCGCAACACCTTCCAATTTAGTTTCGTCTGCAGATTTAGTGTCTAGTGAGCTAGTTTCTGACTCAGAATCTAAGTGAATATTAGTTAGAAGTCTGAAGTTAATTTTTTTCTTTCCAGTACGGTTGTTAATACAGACACCCTTGCATTCATTTTAACCTGGTCTTTATCAACTGTAAAATATGTTTCGCTTTCAGTTAAATTTTAAAATTCCTGGAAACTCTATAAACTTTATGGTTCTTTAGTAGAATTAAACATAGTTTTCTGGTCAAGTGAGATGCTGTTCCTATAAATGCGGCATGTCTGAAAAATTGAAGTGTTTCTTCTTTTAAAGCTACCTTTTTTGTTTCTAGTATAAAAGCACTACATATTTGTGGGAGAAAAAAATAAGATAAAGTTAAAGCTATAGATAGCCACTGCTGATACACTTGTCTGTGTTGTTTTAGATCTTTTAAATACCTTTTTTGTTTTGTTTTGCTTTTTATTTTCTTTTTTATCAGTATTTTTTATTATGATGTTGTCTTTTTATTTTTTGAATCTGGAGAATTTCTAACATACACAGAAGAATTTAAGGAACCACCATACATCTATTACCCAGTCCCAGTAAAGATTCTTTTTTTTTTTGGAGTTGGAGTCTCACCCTGTCGCCCAACTGGAGTGCAGTGGCACGCTGCCGGCCACCACAGCCTCAACCTGCTGGGCTCTGGCGATCCTTCCACCTCAGCCTTCCAAGTAGCTGGAACTACAGGCGCGCGCCACCATGCCCAGCTAATTTTTTGATTTATTGTAGAGATGAGGTCTCGCCAAGTTGCCCAGGCAGGTCACGAACCCGCAGGCTCAGGCAATCCACTCACCTCGGCCTCCCAAAGTGCTGGGATTACAGGCTGAGCCACTGAGCCCGGCTCCCCAGTAATGATTAATGTATGGCCCACATTCTGTTCCATCTACACTCCTGCCTCTTCCCCCTCCTGTACTGTTTTGAATCAAATCCTAAAAATCATATCATTGTCTTATGTAAATATTTCGGTAAATATCTACAAAACAATCATTGGGCTTTTTAAAAACGTAACTGTAACTAGCATGGTTACACTAAAAAAAGAACAATAATTCTTTAGTATTATTAAGTCTTTGATCTTTGTTCAAATTCCCAATTGTGTCATAACTTTTTTTTTAACAATTTGTTTGAATCTGAATCCAAATAAACTCCTCAACTGCAGTTGGTTGATATGGCTTATAATCTCTTGTTTAAGCGGTAGGTTCCTTCTCCTACTTTCTTTGTGCTTGTAACTTTCTGGTTTAAGAAACTGGGTCATTGAGGTTCCCCATGGTCTTTGGGGTTGTTTTTTGTTTTTTGCTAGAGACAGGGTCTCCTCACTCTGTTGCCCAGGCTGGTCTTAAACTCCTGGGCTCAAGCCATCCTTTTGCCTTGACCTCCCAAAGTGCTGGGATTATAGGAGTGAGCCACCGCACCTGACCCATAGTCTGCATTTTGCTGATTGTATCCTGTGGGGTAGTTAAATGTGTTCCTTTGCTGTATATTTCCAGAAAAGTGGTAGTTTGTATAAAAGTGAGATTATACTCTATTATATGTGCTATTTTGTATTCACTTAATAAAATTCGTGTAATTCTCCAGTGTCCTTGAATATTTTTCTACATTGTTCTTAATGCGCATATAGTAGTTCAACTTCTTAATGTTGAGCTTTTAGTTTGTTTTTAATCTTTTATGAACAACACAGCTATTAACAATCTTGTAGCTACATGAAGAATTATTTTGACATTATGAATCATGAGAAAATACCACAGTGTCGCAGGAATTTGGGGTTAATGAAAGCACATTTTTTGCTTTCAAATGCCATGAAGTATTGGATAACTTGGGTTTCCCTTACTCTTTTAAGGCAAAATGGGCATATCAAATTTTTGACCAAAGGAGATAATAATGCAGTTGATGACCGAGGCCTCTATAAACAAGGACAACATTGGCTAGAGAAAAAAGATGTCGTGGGGAGAGCCAGGGGGTAAGTATAGAGGGGAGCATCTTAAACTTTTTGTGTCACTTGAAACATGACCCTCTCAATCATATTGTTTGATCATACATGATTGAATAGTTTGGCCCTGGTTCCACCAAATCTCTTGTGTATCCTTTGAAAATTGTGCTTCTTGAAATGCATTTAAAGCTTCAGGTATATTACTCCATAGGGGAAGAACTGGGCTGCAATAAAAAAATAGTATATGAGTGATGAGATGGTGAATTGGATGAGATAATTTTTTTTTTTAAAATCAGGATCTTGCTCTGTCACCCAGGTTGGAGTACAGTGGCATGATCATGGCTCACCACAACGTTGACCTCCTAGGCTGAGATGATCCTTCTGCCTTAGCCTCCCAAGTAGCTGGGAGTACAGGCACATGCCACCATACTCGACTAATTTTTTTATTTTTTGCAGAGACGAGGTCTCACTATGTTGCCCAGGCTGGTCATGAACTCCTGGGCTCAAGCAGTCCTCTTTGGCCTCCCAAGGTGTTGGGATTATAGGCCTGAGGCACCGTGCCCGACCTGGATGTTATAATTTTAAAAATTCATTTGTTTAAATGAGTCACTCAGTAAATCAGTACCTTCCATGTGCTCTAACGTCTATAGTGTGCTAGGCTCTGGGGCTCCAGAACAGTATTAATCCTACTTTGTGAATCTTACATTACTTAAGAATTTACCAAGTCAGCATTTCAAGTGTTCACCTAAATAAATTGTATCATGTTAATTTATTCCATATTATTTCTAGTCTTGAAATTGATGAGGTCAAATGAAATTAAAAAGTTATATTAAGCCCGTTTGTTTCAGATTTTATCAAGATAACAGATCAGTGGAGGACAGGAATTGTAAGTTACTGGTATTAAGGAAGTATGGGATTGTTACTACTTTAATGTTATTAATAGTATTAATAATAACTCACATTTATTAGGGCTTACTGTGTACCAGTGACTCATTCTAAGTGTTTTACAAGTATTACCCCATTTTAACCTCAGAACAACCTTAATATTCCCATTCTACAGATGAGGAAACTCAGGTGAGTGAGGTTACTTATCTGAGACCATACTGCTGATAGTTAAGTGACTGGTTGGCTTTGTAGCCCACCTTAACCATCACGCATAACATTTCCAAACAGGCAGTTGACTTTCTCTCACTATTTAGATACCACATGGCACTCTTGCCACTACTAGAGCCTCTGCTTTTTTTTTATTTTTTTATTTTTTTTTTTGAGTAGGAGTCTCACTTTGTTGCCCAGGCTGGAGTGCCTTGGCACACTTACAGCCAACGCAGCCTTGACCTGCTGGGCTCAGATGATCCTTCCACCTCAGCCTTCCAAGTAACTGGAACCACAGGTGTGTGCCACCACACCAGGCTAATTTTTTTGATTTATTGTACAGTGAGGTCTCACTAAGTTGCCCAGGCTGGTGTTGAACCCCTGGGCTCAGGCAATCCTCTTGCCTCTGCCTCCCAAAGTGTTGGGATTATAGGTATGAACCACCACACCCAGCCCTCTGTTCCTTTTGACCTAGGACAGACTGTGTGGATACAGAGTTATTACACCATTGATCAGGCCTGAAAAACGCTGTTCCCATAGAGAAGGAAGTACAGGTTGCTAAGTATAAGCTGCCTCAGTTACATCATGAGAGATGCTAACCTTGGGGCCAGAGAAGTCAGAGTAGGCATCATTGTGTTTTTTCCCCTGCAGAGCTGTTTTTTGTATATGTCACCACTTCAAGGGAACTTCATTACCAATATGGAGTTTAAAATACCTTTATAATACAGAGTAGGTCATCATTGCTTCTGAGAAATAACAGTCCTCATCTTCCTCAGTTCCCAAGATGCTGCTTTTGAATCTTTTTGTTTTTTCTCTGCTTGTAAATGTAAAGATTTATGTGGAAATATAAGTAAATATCATCATCAAAAAGCAAACTCAGGCTAGACATGGTGGTCCATTCTTGCAATCCCAGCACTTTGGGAGGCCAAGACAAGGGGATTGCCTGAGCCCAGGGGTTCAAGACCAGCCTGGGCAGCTTGGTGAGACCTTGTCTCCAAAATAAATCAAGAAAAATTAGCTGGGCATGGTGGCACGTCCCTGTAGTTCTAGCTACTTGGAAGGCTGAGGTGGAAGGATCGCCTGCCCAGCAGATTGAGGCTACAGTGGCTATGAGCATGCCACTGCACTCCAGCCTGGGAAACAGAGTGAGACTCTGACTCAAAAAAAAAAAAAAATAGCGAAATCAAGCTGGGTATGGTGGCATATGCCTGTAGCCCTAGCTACACGGGAGACTAAGGCCTCACTTGAGACAGGAGATGGGGGCTGCAGTGAGCTATGAATGTGCCACTGCCCTCCAGCCTTGGCAACAGAGCAAGCTCTAGTCTTTTTTTAAAAAAAGCAAAATCACTTCTCATCTCCTTCTCTATTTCCATACATATTTACTGTTAACTTTCTGGTTTCTGTTCTTTTAGACTTTATGGGATAGGATGCAGGTATTAAGATATACATATTTTTATATATAAACACGTTTTGTGTACCAAGGAAGAATGGTCACATTCTTACAACCTTTTTTTTTTTTTTTTGAGTTGGAGTCTCACTCTGTCGCCCAGATGGGAGTGCAGTGGCATGTTCGTGGCCTCCACCTGTTTTTGTTTGTTTGTTTGGTTTTTGGAGAGATGTGGGTCTTACTCCATCACCCATGCTGGAATGCCGTGGCACAATTATAGTTCATTGTAACCTTGAACTCCTGGGTTCAAGTGATCCTCCTGCCTTAGCCTCCTGAGTAGCTGGGACTAGGTGCGTGCCACCGTGCCATCATTTTCAGAACTGTGTGCTATTCCCCTATATGGAAAGACCAAATAGATTTTAAGTCAATTTCCTATTGTTAGGTGCTCTGATTTTTTTATCCAGCTTTTTTTTACTGTGAATAATGTTGTGATAAACATCCTTGTCATGTATATATCAGTGCTTCTGCACATTCTTCACTAGAATGAATTGGAATTCATTCTAGAAGTGGAATTACTGAGTAAAACATACTCATGTTTTAAGGCTTTTGACAAATTTTACCATACTTGTTTATGTATATACCTGCCAGTGCAAGAGAGTATTCCTTCATCTGAGTCTTGATTCTTAAGTGTTTGTTACAGCTGTATCTGCTCACCGTGGTCCTTTGCTTAGATAAAAAATATATCATCCTACCGAAGGTTAGAGGATCGGTGCTTTTACTCAAGTAACTTGTCCTTCTGAACAATTTTTGAAAAATCCCTAACTATGTATAATGTTATTTCCAAAATACCAACATTGAAAATATGGACCATTTTGTGACTTTTAATTTAAAAATGTAATAGTCCAGTACTCTCTGAATTAAGTAACTTTCCATGAAGTATAAAAAACATCTGGGACAGGAACAGCAGGAGAACAGAATCTCAACTGTACAAATTCATTTTCCATTAATTATAACACCACTGACCTTGACACTTAATGGAACATATCACCTTCTTTTTTTTTTTTTTTTTTTTTTTGAGTTGGAGTCTCACTCTGTCACCTAGACTGGAGTGCAGTGGCCGCTGCCGGCTACCGCAGCCTCGACCTCCTGGACTCCAGCGATCCTTCCGCCTCAGCCTTCCAAGTAGCTGGAACTACAGGTGCATGCTACCACACCCGGCTAATTTTTTACTTAATGTAGAGATGAGGTCTCGCCAAGTTGCCCAGGTAGGTCTTGAACCTGTGGGCTCAGGCAATCCACTCACCTCGTCTTCCCAAAGTGCTGGGATTACAGGCTGAGCCACCAAGCCCGGCCCAAATCACCTTCTTTTGTGAAAATTGTGTTTATGGAAATAAAATAAAACATAAAAAAATATAAATTAAAATAAAGACTGACCTGAAGAATCAAAAAACAAAAAAAGAAAATTGTGTTTATAAAACACTAAGCTGATAATTCAGAGTCAGGCTATACCCAAGCTTTGAGAATAGAGCTTTTCCATAGGCAAGTCTGTGAATGTGGTACAAATGTCTTTAAACATTTTAAAAAATGTTTTGATTTTTGTTTTTTTGAGTCAGAGTCTCACTCTGTCACCTAGCCTGGGATACAGTGGTATGCTCATGGCTACTGCAGCCTTGACCTCCTGGGCTCATGCGATCCTTCCACCTTAGTCTTCCAGGTAGCTGGAACTACAGGTGTGCGCCACCACGCCTGGCTAAATTTTTTGATTTATTGTAGAAACAAGGTCTAGCCATGTTGCCCAGGCTGGTCTCGAACCCTTGGGCTCAGACAATCTTCTTGCCTCCACCTCCCAAAATGCTGGGGTTACAGATGTGAGCTACCACACCTGACCCTGATTTTTTTTTTAACAGCTGCACACTAAAAATTTTTTTACATGAGCCCTAAGTATCTAAATTAAAATAATTTGTAAAAATTTATTTCTTAGTTAAAAAAAAAGCCAGACCAGTGGCTCATGCCTATAATTCCAGCACTTAGGGAGTCAGAGCTGAGAGGATTGCCTGAGCCCAGGAGTTTGAAACCAGGAGTTTGAAACCAGCCTGAGCAACTTGCTGAGACCTCATCTTTACAATAAATCAAAAAATTAGCCAGACTTGGTGGCGTGTGCCTGTAGTTCCAGCTACTTGGGAGACTGAGGCAGAAGGGTTGCCTGAGGTCAGTAGGTAGAGGCTGGTAGCCGTGAGCGTGCCACTGCACTCCAGCCTGGGCAGCCTAGTGAGACTCGGACCAAAAAAAAAAGTCACATATATTGGGTGATAAAATTCACTATTTAAAAATGTATGATTCAGTGGGTCTTAGCATATTCACAAGATTGTGGAATCATCACCACTAATTCTAGAACATTTCCATCACCCCAAAAATAAAACTCTGTACTCATTAGCAGTCACTTCCTATCCCTTGCTTACTGCAGTCCCTGACAACCACTAATCTACTTTCTGTCTCTGTGGATTTGCCTGTTTTGGGCTTCTCATATAAACAGTATCATACAATATGTAGTCCTCTGTGTTTGACTTCTTTCACCTGGCATAATGTGTTTAAGGTTTATTCATGTTGTAGCATGTAATAAAAACAAGTTTAGAAAATGAAACTAATACTAGACCAATTAAGGATTTAATAGAGGTAATTGTTTCTAAATCCCAGAAATTAAAAAGCTCAGGAAGACCTGTTAGTCAAAGAAGAGTAGAAAGCAGCAGGAGAAAAGGACAGAAGGCTCACAGAAATCCAGGGGCTAGAAATATTGACATTGGAGAGAAGAGTAATAGAAAGGGGCAGAATAATTGAACTGTTTTATGGATAAGACTCTCTAGGGCCGGGTACAGTGGCTTGTACCTGTAATCCCAGCACTTTAGGAGGCAGAGGCAAGAAGATTGCTTGAGCCCAGGGGTTCGAGACCAGCCTGGTTGACTTGGCAAGATCTCGTCTCTGTAATAATTCAAAAAAATTAGCCAGGTGTGGTGGCACACACCTGTATTTCCAGCTACTTGGAAGGCTGAGGTGGAAGGATCGCCTAAGCCCAGCAAGTCGAGGTTGTGTTGACCATGACTGTGCCACTGCACTCCAGCCTGGGCAACAGAGTGAGACTGCAATTCCAAAAAAAATAAAAGACTTTTAAACTTATTTTGAGACAGGTTATTTTTTAGCAAAATTATCCTTTTTTGGTCATTGCATATTCTCTTATTTAGTTGGCTAAGTGGAGTCCAGGCTTCCCCAGACTTAGAGCCCTTTTTGTGGAATCTTTTCTTTACTGTTCACTTGGCCTTTTGCCTAATGATCTCTCTTCATTGCCTCCCCAAACATCAGGAGACAGTTATTCTGAGGCTACTTCCTCAGCAGCACCTTTGATCCCAGGAATTTCCGGGGAAATGTATTTAACCACAGGAGACGTATTTTACCTTCTAGATGTTAACTTGCAGTTGGCTTTGTAGGTGGCATTTATTTTACTTATTTTAAATTTTGTTCTGCTTATTAACAATTCTGCTTTAGCATATGAGCTTATCTGAGCAGAACAGGAAAAAAAGTACAACTAGTTTGGATTTAATATGACTGATAGCATCATTATGCACTTGATTATCAACTCTTTGCTTACCTTTGGAGGGAAGCAGTAGTGCAAATAATTAAATCTTTTGTTTGACTTTGGACTGCCTCTTTGTATTCTAGCAGCCTTATGTCCTGCTTATATTACTCAAAGATCAAATTGCTTTCATTTCACTTGTAGTGGGCAAGGAAAAGCCCACCTTTAAAAAAAAATGTTTCCATGGATTACTCATAAGTAGCTATGTTGGGAGCCAAAGGCTGTGCTGGGATTACAGGCATGAGGCACTGTGCTCAGCTTTAAAATGTTCTTAAATTAGCTGATTTACCTTAACTGAAAGTGGTTGCTTTTATGAAGGTACTAAAAATGAAACAAAAGAATAAGTTATTGAATTAAAAAAGGAAAACAATATTAAAAATAACAATTAGCCAGGCGTGGTGGCGCTCTCCCGTAGTTCCAGCTCCTTGGAAGGCTGAGGTGGAAGGATCGCCTGAGCCCACTGGCCCTGAGCGTGCCACTACACTCCAGACTGGGAGACAGAGTGAGACTTCGACTCAATAAATAAATAAATAAATAAATAGGAAACCTCTCTACATCCTCTTAGAGCTTAGCATTGCCATTCTGTAACAACTGTTACTTTTCAGCTCTTGGAGGTCCCAGAGGTTAAGGCTAAAGCTTGGACCCTAAGAAAGAGGTATTGTTTGCCACCACACACCTAGTCTGTTCATTTCACATTATAACTGTGTTTTTTAAACTTTGATGTTTAGGATCAGCATTTGGGTGTCATTTTTCAGAGATCCCTGACTCAGTAAATCTGGGGAAGAAATACGAATCTCCACTTTCAACGAGCCATCCAAGTGATTCTGACAAAGGAGGGCTAGGCTTTAAGAAACACCAGTGTATGAAATAGGAGTTTGAGAATTAGAAGAGAAAAATAGGTCTGGGTAATGCTGCCAGGAGGGAGAGGGGCAGGAAGAGGTGAGGGCAGGAAACAGGAAGTAAGGGGAGTTCTTAAAAGGAAGTGAAATGTATCAGACAAAATGTCTGTTCTTCAAGTTTGTCTGAGGCTTTGATGGTATAGGTGTTAACGTAGGAGGTGATTTCTGTTCATGCTGCCTTTGGCATGGTGCGAGGGTTGTGGGTGCCCTGAATGAAAGTATCTGGGCTATTTTAAAGTGGGCTAAGGTCAGCCTCCACTTCAGCCCAACCTCTCTTCTTTATGACAGGCTCTAGCTTAGTATGCTATTGCCCAATCCACTCTGGAGTCCAGCAGTAGAAGAGGAGGAAAAAGAAGTTGTACATTTGCTAACCACCTTTTCCTCCTACACTGATGGTGCCCTGTTGATTTTCTCTTTCTGCTCTGAATTCTGACGATGTTGAAGCATCCTTTGCATGGAAGGGAGAATTGAAGCCTTGAGAGAAAATGAGATTTTCCCAAGAGAGCAAAAAGAAGAGGCCCGACTTTCAAACATTCAATCAGGCAGTATTTACTCTCTGTCTGCTATATGCAAGGCACTATATTGACCTTGAGGGATGCAGGGGGAACAGGATTGGCATTGTTGTTGCTCTTATAGAGCATAAAGTCTAGAAGGGGCAACAGACACTATATAGCTAATTATACAACTAATTATTTAATTAAAATTACACTAATTATGATAAAGACCTCAGAGGAAATACGTCAGGTGCTATAAGAGTATTCAACAGGTGGTTTTGCCTAGTTTGAGAGGTCAAACTTTAGGGGCAAGAGGAATTATTAGAAGAAGCTAGTGAACAAACAGCGATGTAGCAGCCAGAGAGGTAGATGATGAAACAGATTTGTAGTGTCTTGCAGAAACCAAGGAGAAGGGATTTCAAGAGCAAGTTTATTGTCATAAAAGTCAAATGCTGTAGAGATATAAACAAACTTGGGCTGACTGGTTTGCTGCATATGGTAATTAAAACTATTCCAGAAATGTTTCAGGATTAAGATAGCCAAACCTATATTTTAGGTAGTTAAAAATGAGAGGGGAGTGAAATGCTAAGTACTGTCTATGATAGAGCTCTTACACTCACTTTTTGACCACTTAGCATGAAGTACCTAATATTCTGGCTGTTTTTGCCTTGTCTGCCTTCCTGAAGGTTATGATGACAAACCTAGCCCCTAGCACTATGTCAGCAGGTAGCATGAGGGTCACCAGCTAGAGACATAAGATCTCAGATCTGTTACTGGTTCTGCCAACAGAAACCATGTACCATGGGTATGATCATCTGTTTCCTCATCTCTACAATGGTGATATTCCTAACTTTCCTATCACTTGGGCTGTTGAAAGGAGCAAACAGGGCAATTTGGATAAACGGGCTTTGTGAACTGAAAATTAGTATTGTGTAGAAGATATTAATAATGTTCAGTGAAAAATAACAACTGCTTTACCTAGGAAGTTCTGTGATGATCAGTTTTTGGTTTTTTGTTTTAGATTTGTTCCTTATATTGGAATTGTGACGATCCTCATGAATGACTATCCTAAATTTAAGGTAAGATCCTGCACTCTATGTTTCATTACAAATGTGATCTTTTGCTTAGTTTTGGAAACTATTAAATGGATTACAGTTAACAAATGAAAGATGAATTAGATAGTTGAATAATTTATCATGGTCACAAAGACCAGTTTATTAATTAACGCTAAGAACTTGTAAACTCTTAAAAGCTTCTCTGACTTGTGGTTCTGTTTTTTTTCTAGTATGCAGTACTCTTTTTGCTGGGTTTATTTGTGCTGGTCCATCGTGAGTAAGCAGTCTGCCTTGCTGTCCCTCAGAAGATGCTGTACTTTTTGTTACTGGATGTCTGGAGTAGATATTGGTCTGTGATTGGTGGAATGGACAACACACATGTTGACACTTCTTGGTAGCACTGGTTTGCATTAGTTTATGTTTCCACACCAGAGTATGTGTGGGCGGGCACATGTGCACCATGGAGTGCACTCAAGGGGACTTTCAATCACAGGATTTCATAGTTGTCATTGTCACACTTTCACATTTTTGTACATTAGTGAATTTTTTATATTAAAAGGTTGAGCCAAAGCCCCCAGTGTTTGTATTTTGAAGCCAAGCTTCACTTATAAAGTGCCTACAGAGTTCTGTAAACAAAAATGCAACTCTGCACGAGTTTGAAACCATCATACCTCCTTATAATGGGAATGGCATATACTAAGGTGGTCGTAAGTCTTAACTTTTCAAAATTTTAAATAAAAGACTTTGCACATTGAATCCCTTATCCCTGAATTGTGTTTGTCGGGAAAGCTTCTGAGATTTACCTTCCTTGACTGGTTCTTAGTACTCCTTGGGGGAATATAAAGGCTTAGTGTCAACAGTCTTTCAGCTAAGGGCTCCAGTTCTCCTCTCCCTGCAAAGGATGTTTCAACATCATAAGAAGTATGCTGTTAGTATTAGTATGACCTAATACTAACAACTGTTTTTTTTATTTGTATTGTTTGTGTTTTTGTGAAGCAAAAGTAGCCATTGACATTCATAGGAAATTTCTTTTTCTTTTTTTTTTTTTTTTTTTTTTTGAGTTAGAGTCTCACTCTGTCGCCCAAACTGGAGTGCAGTGGCCGCTCCCGGCCACCGCAGCCTCGACCTGCTGGGCTCCGACGATCCTTCTGCCTCAACCTTCCAAGTAGCCAGAATTACAGGCATGCACTACCATGCCGGCTGATTTTTTGATTTATTGTAGAGATGAGGTCTCGCTGCCCAGGCGGGTCTCGAACCCGCGGGCTCAGGCAATCCACTCACCTCAGCCTCCCAAAGGCGCGGGATTACAGGCTGAGCCACCGAGCCCGGCAGGAAATTTCTTAGTCATAAAATTGATTCTTCCCTCAGGCATGATTCGGATATGTATAAACCCAGCTACTGTTGCTGAGAGGTTCAGAACCTCTCGCTATAAAACTCATAACCCTTTCTACACTTGAGATGTTCTTAGCCCTTTCTACATGATGACCCTGTGTGCTGGCAGCTGGAGGAGACACGTTGCTGGGGGGCAGGCATTCTGCTTGTTGTCTTCAGACTCTCATTTGCCTGGATCTGTTCTCTTAAATGTCTGGCTTTGCTTTTCTCTAATGCAGACTTAAAGCAGGCAGAGTTTAAAGTCGTGAATGCAAAGCCTAGTTGTGTGTTTTCTTTTAATATTGAGGCAGTCAGGAAAATAGGGAGTATAGGGTAAACCAACGTGTTTTGAACACAAAATGCTCTTATTTCTGGCTTCTTATTCTATTAATATGAAATCTCAAAGTAAGCAAGTTTTGTGTTGGGCTACATGAACAGTTTCTATTATATGCTCAACTGAGATAGAAATCATTCTGTACTGTAATGCTAATGGAAAGAAAATAGAGACAATCTTCTGAAGCCCTTCCCTATAGAGAATAGTGCCATCCTAAATCCATTAACTAGACTTTAGTCTTCAGACTTTGGATATGGGCTCCCCATGTTCATAACAGACTATGAAACTTGGCAAGTCACTGCAACAGATGTTTTTTAAAACCCATTTGCAAAGCTTATATAGTACTTATGGGGGGACCAAAAAAAAAAGGGGAATTAATTTTTGAAGGGTGGGCCCCTTGTTGTACAGTCTTCCCCCACTAGATAAGTGTTCTAGGAACCCATCAGCATCAGGGTACCAGTTAGCGTTGTTGTGAGAGGCTGCTTTCAACTTCAGTGAATGTTTTTTGGAGATTCTTTCAGTGTGTTTGCCCCTTTCACGATGGGTGATTTACCAGCGCCTACACCGTGCTGAGTGCTCAGCAGTTTTTGACCCAAAATGGCATGACCCCTGTGCTCTTACCTCTCTTTTGACTCGATCTCACCCAAGCGACTTTTTTTTCCCTTGGATGAAAGAAGTCCTCAGAGGGAAATGTTTTGCTGATATTGAAGAGGTGAAACAAAAAATGGCAGAAGCTCTGAAAGGAATCAGAATTGGTGAGTTCAGAAACTATTTTGAGCAGAGGAAAAAGCATCTGAATAGGTGTAGTGCATCAAACGGGGAGTACTTTGAAGGTGACTGAAGTTTAAACATGTAAGAATAAATACGCAATTTTTTATAAATAAATTCCTGATTTTTCTGGGTCCCCCTTGTATATTTTCTCATGAGACAAGGAGAGGCTGAAACAGCCCCTGTGTGAAATGGCAAAAAATTATTATTTACTCCATTGTTTTCTTTTAGTCACCTGTGAAAGATGAGGTTAACTGCTTAGCCTAATCAATGCACTGACTCTGTTTGGAACCAACCTTTCTAGGTCTACTGTGGGGGGAAAGTAGTGTGCTTTGCTTGCCAAGGACCCTGGGATCCTAGCTTGTCTGAGTGTAAACATCTTTGTACTTGTATCTTCATCTCTCCAGATTGCTACTCCTCATACACTTATTGGGAAGAAAACAATACTTTCCTCACTTGCATATTTTCATACCAGTTGTGTAAAGTTATTTTTCGTGCTTTGCTGGATGCTCTAGTTGCAAGCTACAGCTACATTTCTTTGAAAAAACTAATCAAAGCATTTACAAACATTTGGAGACTAGGCACAGTGACTCACCTGTAATCCTAGTGCTTTGGGAAACTGAGGCAGGAGGATCACTTGAGGCCAGGAGTTGGAGACCAGCCTAGACAACAGCAAGACCCCATCTCTATGAAAAATTTAAAAATTAGCTGGGCATGGTAGTGCACACCTATAGTCTTGGCTACTCAGGAGGCTGAGATGGGAGGATTGCTTGAGCCTAGGAATACAAGGCTGTAGTGAGTTATGATTGTGCCACTGTACTCTGGCCTACATAACATAGCTAGACTCTAACTCTAAAAAAATAAAAATAAAAATATTTGAATCGCTCCATTAGACAAAAATTAAAAGATTATTTGTGATTCCAGTTTTTATATTGTATAGTAATAGCACTAAACATAAGACTTAAAATGGCAGGGTTTATTAGTAAATACGTTTCTTCTTTTTCTTTTCTTTTTTTTTTAAGAGACAGGGTCTTACTCTGTTGCCCAGGCTGGAGTATAGTGATGCTATCATTAGCAGCCTTAGACTCCTGGGCTTAAGTGATCCTCCTACCTCAGCCTTTCTTTTCTTTTCTTTTCTTTTTTTGAGTCAGAGTCTCTGTCACCCAGGCTGGAGTACAGTGGCATGCTCACGGCCACCCACAGCCTCAACCTGCTGGGCTCAGGCGATCCTTCCTCCTCAGCCTTCCAAGTAGCCGGAACTACAGGCATGTGCTACCATGCCTGGTTAATTTTTTATTTATTGTAGAGATGAGGTCTCGCCAAATTGCCTGGGCTGGTCTCAAACCCGCACGCTCAGGCAATCCACTCGCCTCGACCTCCCAAAGTGCTGGGATTACAGGTTGAGCCACTGAGCCCAGCCAAGCAAAAACATTTATATGTCCCTTATTTCAAGTGACTTGTGATTTAAAAACCTGGTGCAGTTGAAATGTTTTGCTGGTGTTGGTTATGATAGGGCTTGCCATGTTCTCTTCCACCCCTTTAGTCACCCTTTGGTGAGTCTTCCCCACATTTTCTGGGGATGTCCTCGAGTGTTGTAGTATCCTGGGAGGGTCAAGAGTAAACTCTGGAGAGCCTCATGTCCATTCGATTCACTGCCAGCCTTTTCCCATGGGTTGGAGGCCTTTGGACTTTCCTGGCCACCAGAGTGGACTTAGGGAACAGGCGGTCTGCAATTGAGGTCCTCATGCTAAACGCAGCTTGGCACTTTCTTGGAAGCTGTGCACTCCCTTGAGCAAGCCCCTGTCTCTGCTATGCCTCCCATTTATTCCCTGAGGTATGCAGAGTGCTCCCGTGTCTGTGGAGCTGCTACCCTGTTGCTTTCTCAGACCTTGTATTAGGCTGACAGGCCAGATGGTCCCAAGGGTATGTGGCTCCAGTCTCAGAGCTGTGGTTGGAGCTGTGAGCCTGGACTGTATCAGAAGAAGCTTTGCTTAAGTATAAATAAACCCATCTGAGCAGAACCCAGGGTCCCAGAGTCACCTGCGGCAGAGAGGCGAAACTCAAAATGCAGTGCCTACTCCCTCTCCCTCCTGAGGTATCTAGACCCAACTTGGTGTTGAACTTTGGGATGGTAAAATGGGAAGGGACGTGGTTGAGGGACAGCTGTATCAGCCTTGCACAGATTTAGGGGCCTGATGCAGTGGTCCTGACAGACCTCAGGTCTGATTCCAGTGGGATGTCTGGGCAAGCAACTCAACCTCTCTGAGCCTGTTTCCACCTGTAAAATGAGGAGAGAGAAATGCACCAAATAAGGCTCTTTCGGGCATTTGAGTGAGTCAATACCAGCACCTGTGTGTTCTACCTCCGTGGACCAGGGAAGCTGGATAGAGGTGTGATGGATGCAGAGCAGAAGGAGGGGGTCGAAAAGGAATGATTATTACTGGAAGGTGCTAAGAGCTATATCTGTACACCATGGTTGAGCTGTGACAAGAAAGCAGAGAGATGTCAGTGCCAAGGCGGGGGATGAGGAGCAAGGAGACTGGGGAAGAAGCCAGGGCCAGAAATGGAGTAATCTTGACCTGTGTGCCATGCTCCTGGAAGCTGGGCACAACAACCAGCTTTTCTTTCTCTCTTTTTTTTTTTTTTTTTTTTTGAGTCGGAGTCTCACTCTGGCGCCCAGGCTGGGCTCAGGTAATCCTTCTGCCTCAGCCTTCCAGGTACCTGAACTACAGGCATGTGCACCATGCCCAGCTAATTTTTCTTGATTTATTGTAGAGATGAGGTCTGATCTCGAACCTCTGGACTCAGGCAATCCTCTCGCCTCAGCCTCCCAAAGTGCTGGGATTCAGGCATGAGCCACTGTGTCCGGCCACACAACCAACTTCTCATATGAGCTTCCCATCTAGGATGGTGGCCCTCAGAGCTAGCAGGCTTTGCTGATCTAGATGTGTGCAAGAATGACAGTAGCAGGCACCAATACTGAGCCAGATGGGAGTAGGGTCTGTCACAGCCACACCATTGTGTTCAGGAAGGGGTCCAGAGTCCTGGGGTTGATCTGACTCTGCTCCTTCATCATTCACTCCTTTGTCTACTTTCTCTCCAGGGAGATGGTTAACTCCCTTGGGAGCAGGGAATTGCCTTTGTCTCTCCTCCTTCTGTGTCTAGCATGGTCCTGTGAATATTGGTGTTCAGTAAATATTTAGGCCAAAAAAAAAAAAAGTATTCTGGAGCATAGCATCATCCCCTGCTCATTAAGTGATGCCACTGATCCAAAAGTTCTTTCCAAGACAAGTCCTGTTATTCTCCTTGGGAGAATTAACAGAGTGTTGGCTGTGAGAGGGCAGGTCCTATGGAACTGCAGCTTCCTGCCACAAAATAACTGTGCTAAATTTTTTTAAAATATTGGGCTGGGTATGGTGGCTCACGCCTGTAATCCCAGCACTTTGGGAGGCTGAGGCAAGAGGACTGCTTGAGACCAGGTGTCAAGATCAGCCTGGACAACATAGCAAGACCCTGTCTCTACAAAAAAATAAAACAATTAGTCAGGCATGGTGGTACACACCTGTAATCCCAGCTACTCGCGAGGCTGAGGTGGAAATATTACCCAAGCCCAGGAGGTGGAGGCTGCAGTGAACCATTATCATGCCACTGGACTCCAGCCTGGGTAACAGAGTGAGATCCGGACTCAAAAAAAAAAATTAAAAGTACTAAAATAAGGGTAATGTGGTTATTCCCATTTTACAGTTGAAAGTGAGCTTAAACGAGGCCACCGCTTGTATTATATGGACTGCTGGTCCAGTGCTCTTTCCACTTCCCTGACCCAGAGATCTGCTTCCTGACCATAGGCCAGGCCCTCCAGCTGGGTCCAGCTCAGTGGCTCCTCGTCCCACCCTCCATTATTCTGAGTTCCCAGCCGGAGTACCTGATGTGCCCCCCAACATTTCCAAATTGCCTGGCGTGTGCTGGCCAAGGTTGGGCAGACAGCGAGGTGAACACGGCCCAGATTCCCTCGGAGGGAGGGGGCGACGGCGCTCCCTTGACTGGGCCTTGTTGCACGGGAGGACGGCTTCTTCCCCGAGTTTTACTCTCGTACAGCGAGGCTCGGAGTGGGGAAGTAACGTGTTGGCGGAAAGCTCGGAGTGGGGAAGTAACGTGTTGGCGGGAGCGGAGAGGGAGGGCCGGGGGAACGAGCTTTGCGCCAGGCCCCCGCCGGCTCCGGGCCGGCCTTAGCCCGCAGCTGGTGGGCTTCGCCTGAGCCCCCGGAGAAGGCGGCGCCCAGGCGCGGGCAGGAGCGCGGGGCGCAGGTCTGTGCGGAGGACCTTCGGAGGGTGGCGCCTCTGCCGGAGAGCTCGGCCGTGGGGGTCCCGGGGAGGGCGGGGCGGCGCGCCGGGGGGGCGGCTCCGGGGCAGGCTCCGCCCCCAGGGACGCGGGTTTAAAAGGAAGGAAAGCGGGCCGGGGACACGAGCAGCCGCGAGCGCCGGAGCGGAGCTGCAGCCTCGGCGCCGCCATGAGTCGGCGGGCAGGGGGCGCTCGGCTGCTTCGCGGCCTCCTGCTCTTCGCCCTGCTCGCCGCGGGCGTCGCCCAGCTCAGCTGGGACCCCCCGGAGCCCCGCAGCCGCGCCAGCAGGATCCGAGTGCACCCTCGGGGTAACCTCTGGGCCACCGGTGAGTTTGGGGACGCGGGCAACCCCCTCAACCCTGCTGGAACCGTTTCCTACTCAACCCCCTGGCTGCTCCTCAGCCACGGACACTGGTGTCCGGGCAGGTGGGTACCCTGGGGCTCATCTAATTTTAACAGATGGGCACTTGAGACGCAGACAGGGCAGCGGCTTGGTGAAGCTCACCCGGCCAGTCTAAGGCTGCGCTGGGGCTGGATCCTAGCTCTGACTGCAGGCTGGTGCCCCTTCCCTTAGGCAAGGCATCGCGGAACTTTCTACCCTCCGGTCTGTCTTCCCTGCATCTCCACCCCACACGCACCTCTTCATCCTCCACTTCTCTGTCCTTTCCCACCCCTCATCTATGCAGGCAGCACAACTAGCAAACTTTCTCCCTGGCCCGGGACCATCCCGCGCTCCTTCCGGCCGTGCCAGCATCCCCACCCCGCCACCAGTTAAGCAAAGCTTAAGGTAGCAGGCTTTGCCACCACCCAGACGTCTTCGTGGCTCTTTGGTGAGGAGGAGGTGCAGGAGGAGGAAGGTTGCATATTTTAGCCACAAGAGCAGAAAGGGGGAGACGAAGAACTCTCCCTCTGGGGTAAGATCCTCACCCCCTGACTTTCTTGTGCCTCGCCATGTCCTTTCTAGGTCACTTCATGGGCAAGAAAAGTCTGGAGCCCCCCAGCCCATCCCTGTTGGGGACAGCTCCCCACACCTCCCTGAGGGACCCAGGACTGCGGCTGAGTCATGATCTGCTCAGGATCCTCCTGCTGAAGAAAGCTCTGGGCATGAGACTTAGCCGCCTGGCCCCCTACACCCAGGTGAGCCAGACCCCCACCCCAGTACCAGGAGGGCTTGGCTGGGGCCAGCCCAGACCCAACATGGGAGCGACTGCCACTGGCACTGAGTTTAGGGTGTGACTGTCTGACCAGGGCATGATGGGTGTGGACCCCAGAATGCAGGGTTCCAGGTCTCCCTGTGTCACAGGGTTCAAGGGGAAAATGCTCCAAAGAAGGGCAGCTGACCTCCCTAGTAGGCCCCAGGGAGCAAGATGTAGGAAGGAAGCTCCCCCTCACTCTCACCCATCACCCAGTCTAAGGTCTCAGCCTGGGGTGATCCAGCCTTTTGCAGCAGGACCTTCTCCCTAGTTCACACAGCCTCAACCTACCCTAGCTGTGCCCTGGGTACGCAAGTGGCCAGACCGGGACCTGAGGCCCAGAAAAGGAAAGAGAAGTCAGCAGCCAAGATAGAGCCTGACCCTTGTTCACCCTGACCAGTGCTCTCTCCATCTCATCTGCCTCCGTAGCATGGCAGGTTGATCAGCTTCAGCACTCTTGACATTCTAGGCTGGGTCACTCTTCAGTGTGGGAGCTGTCCTGTGCATGGTAAGATGTTTAGCTGCATCCCTGGTCTCTACCACAAGATGCCAGTAGCATCCCCCACCACAACTAAAAATGCCCCCAGACATCATCAGATCCCTTGGGGAGAGGGTCCCAAATCACTCTTGGTTGTAAATCACTGGCCTATGTACGGGGTCAAAGTCCCAAAGCCAAAGCCAAGTCAGCCTTAGTGTCTAGCCTGGTTGAGTGGCAGCTCCTCGATTCCCTCTCCAGGCACTGTCCCCACTGCACACCACCCACTGGTACTTGTTGCTGCAGGAGAATGTGGGGTCTGGCAACAACAGTTTGGGCTCCTAACCCAGCTACTCAGTAGCTGTGTGATCTGAGAAATATTTCTTAACATCTCTGAGCCTCATCTTCCTCATCCATAAACATAGTATAATAGGTCCATCTCCTATTAAATGAGGCCATTTCTGTCACTTGTTCAACATGGTGCCTGGTGCATAGAAAGCCCTTAGTAAACGGGAACAACCCATCCGGGAGCTTCCTGGCACACCTGTTGCTGACTCACCTTCCATCTCCCCCACCATGCCCAGCACATAGTGCATGTTTTGAAAGAAGAGAGGGGCATTCCCTAGGGAATGCCAATCCCAGCCCCACCCAACATCCCTGACTTCCTGATGGGCAGAACCACAAGCCCTTGGGGACCTCAGATGTAATGGATAGGCTGAAGTCCCCAGGGATGTAATGGATAGGCTGACTGAGGCTGAAGGGAGACGATGTCTCTGCTAGGCTGTTGGTTTTGAAGCTCTGAAACACACAGACCAGCTAGAGAATCTCTGAGAAAGCAGCACCTAGCCCTGGGGCATGGGGCTTCAGAGTGACGTCTGGGGTGGGTGAGGGTGTGAGGACCCTGACACTGGCCCATCACCAGGTGCTGTACTTGGTTTTACTTTCATGATGTTCTGTGACCGTGCAGTTGAGACTGTATTCTGAGAAGACTGCTGCCCCAGCCTCTTCCAGGCCCTTCAGTGTTAGGAAGCCTGCCTCAGCCGAAAGCCTCCCCCTGCCCACCTCTGCAGACATCTAGCACTTAGGAGTGGCAGGATGCCCCTGTCATTTGTCCCCTCCCCAGCTCAATTCTTCTGTATGTTTCCCTTCAGTACAGGAGGCTGCTGGTGCAAATACTGCAGGAATAACTCCAGTAACGGGGCAGACACAACAACATGGCTTAGATTGTGCCCGCCCAGGGAAGGTGCTGAATGGGACCCTGGTGGTGGCCCCATGTGGACATAAATCCTGAGCTCAAATCTCTGTTACTCCATTACAGTGATTTCTGGTTGGTTCACCAGGAATGTCGCTGATGCAGACAAAAGTTATGTTCCTGCTGTATTTCTTGCTTCCCTGTTGAAGTTGTGAATAAAGCCTTGCTCTTTAAACGGAATGTGTGGTCCTCTTCTCCCAGCCAGTTTGGGGAAATGGGAGGGAAAGGGGGCTGGAGGGCGGGGCGTGCACTGAGACGGGGCTGGCTCCAAAAAGCCCAGAACACTCCATGCCACGGCACCAACCTGGCACGGACTCTAGACTCCCACTCTTCTCTCTTCAGCAGCAGCTATTCATACCGGCTATATGCCAGGTCCCGGGCCAGGCGCCGGGATCAGTTCTCGCCTCTGCCACCTACTGGTGCAGACAAGTAGCTCATCTGTTTCCTCGCTAGTAAAGGGGGCTGTCTACACGACGCTACCGGCCTTGGCTGATCGTCTCATTTTACCCCCATGCCAAGCTTCGAGGGGAGTGCCTGTTTATACCGGGGAGAGTTGGGTTGGCATCCAACTCCCACCGTCCCCTTACTTTCTTCTCTGGCCTTGGGTAGAGTTGCCCGAGTTAGCAAATAAAAACACAGGGCACCCAGTTAGATTAGAATTTCAGATAAACAATAGTTTGGTCGTATAAAATGTCCTAAATATTGCATGAACATGCTCGTACCAAAAAACATTCATTATCTAAAATTGGAATTTAACTGATCAGTCCTGCGTTACATCTGGCCTTGGAGCACGGACTCCCGGTCTCTGGGCCTCAAATACCTGGTCTTAAAACGGGCGAGCCTATGGCTCTTCGGGCCGTGCTCGGAGCTGACATTGGGAAGCACTGTCTTCCTAGAGCCTTTGCCCGGAGTTCCTGGGACCCAGCTGGGCCAGGGCGCAGAGCCTGGTGGGCGGTGCTCCGGCATCTCTAAGCCCCTCCCCCTAGAGGGAAGGCCCGCCCACACCTCGCGAGAGGACCGCGCCCGCCCGGGAAGGCGCGCAGTCGGAAGTGGGGCACCGGAAGCGACAGTTGCCATGGAGTCCGAGGAGGATTGGCTGGTGGAGTCCTTGCGCTTGTAAATCGCGTAGGGCAGGGGGACTTGGAGCGGCAGGGCGGGCAGATGGGTGCGCACGGAGGCACGTGGGGGATCCTGGAGGGGCTGGGCCCACGGTGGCCGCGGGACCGGGCCGACGCGGGAACTCCGCCTGGGCCTCGGCCGGGCACCTGGGAGATGGCGCCTTTCAGCGTGCGCCAAGTCGTGTGAGGAGCGAGAGCAGCGCTTGGGAGGATAACACACGAGACCAGCTTTGCGCCAGGCTCTCCGTTAAGCCTGAACACAGATTATCTCACTAAGTCCTCACGTCAACTTCGGGCAATCTGGGGACCCTGGGAGTGCCACAGATGAGGACCGAGGTTGGGCCCAGACACGCAGGGGGTAAAAGGCGAAGTAAACTGTCTCACATCTGCCTGACTCCAGAGCCTGGGCTGCCGAAGCAGGCGGCAGACCCTTGGAGTTCCTCGATGACCGTGAAGTGCTGGGCACTGTGTGATTTTGTGTCCCTGTCGCGCAGGTACCAGGATTTCTATGCATTCGACCTCTCGGGAGCCACTCGAGTCCTTGAATGGATTGATGACAAAGGTGATATGCCCTGACTGGCCCCAAAGGAGGGGAATCGCCCTCTTGAGGCTGGTATCAGGGGCTCAGCTTCTGGGCACCTGAAGGTCACTTGTAGCAATTTGATGCCCTGTCAACACTTACATTCCTTTTATTAAGATCTTCTGTCCCCTGATACAAGGACTCACATTGATGGGGAAGGAAATTATCCTTGCTTTGGGGGATTTGGTGCGAGTCCATAGACCCAGCTGTGAGCTACAATCTTTCTAACAATTTGTCACAGCTACTTCTGCTTCTTTTTCTAGGTGTTTTTGTTGCTGGCTATGAAGGTCTGAAAAAAAATGAGATTCTTCATCTGATATTACCTCTCAGACTTTATGTAAATGAAAATCAGGTAACTTGAAATGTAAATGCTGAGTATAAGTGTCAACTTTTATTTACTTATTAAACATTGGGAGTTCCTGTTGTCTGCCAGGTATTGTCTTGGATGCTAGAAAAAGAGAGATTACAGGATGTTCATGCCTGTAATCCCAGCATTTTGGAAGGCTGAGGCTGAAGGATCGCCTGAGCCCAGCAGGTCGAGGCTGCAGTGACTGTGAGTGTGCCACTACACTCCACTCCAGCCTGGGTGATAGTGAGACTCCAACTCAAAAAAAAAAAGAAAAGAAAAAGAGAAAAACAAGTGCTGAGCCCACCCTTATAATCTGATAGAGGCAAATATGCATAAAGAGAAATGCTGTGGAACATTCCATAGTTTACAGAGGGCTACTAGAAGAAGTGGTCAGTTTTACTTTGTCAAAAATAGATATAGGGAGCCCTTAAGGTATAGAGAGTAGCTGAAGCTCTTAGAATAGTTAAGATCACCTCATGAGTAAGAGGAGAATGCAGTAAGAACAGAACCCCGGGGTGTACATTGAAGAGATGGGTACAGGCAGATGAACCCACCTGGCCCCCCTAAGAAAGAATAGCCTTTGAAGTAGGAGAAGTCTCAGAAAAGGCTGGTGTTTCAGAAGCCAAGAGAAGAGAGCATGGCAAGAAGAAAAGAGTTGGTAGCTGTCTTAATGTTACTGTAAAATCATTCTGATGAGGATTGAAGGAGTCATTCATTAGATTGGCAGTTGGGAAGTTCTTGGTGACCTCTGCCACAGCATTTTTGTGGGTCCTGACCTAAAATGCATATTCCTAGGCCCTTTCCCAGGCATACTGAGTTAGAAAGCTCAGAAAAACACCAAGCTTGTACTCACAAAACCTAGAGGCTACGGAAGCTATAAGACAGCCTGGCCTCTGTTGCCCTAGGGAGCTATTGCCTACCTAGTGCTCTTGATCTGCCCCATCTCCATTACTCATACTTGAGCCAGGGCCTCACTCAGACTAAGCCTTGATGGAAAAACTGATTTGCCTCCCCCTACATGCATGACTTTGCTTCTTTCTCTTGTGGCTACCCCCTTGTCCCTTATCGCCAGTTTTTACATGGAGATAGTAGAGTCTCATGGCCAAGAGCATGGACTTTGGTTAGACAGACTTCGGCTCAGATTCACAACTTATTATCTATGTGACCTAAGAAAAGTGCCTTAAGCTACCTGTACCTGTTTTGTCATTTGCAGAATGGGATAATTATAGTACCTATGTCACAGGGTGGTTGTAAGAATTAAACATGATAAAGCCCTAAGCAGAGTGCCAGACACTGTGAACACTTTGATAAGTGGTGGTTGTTACGTTTTTATTGTTAGAGGAACCCACCTGGCCTCCAATCAGGGAATGAGGGGGAGGAATGAGGATGTATTAGTTGCTTTCTCTGAGTCTCCTCTAAGAAGGTCTGGTGTATGTGCTTGTGCTGTGTGGAAGGGGCTAGAAAAAGGCTAGGAAAAGGGCTTATATGTTCTGGGGGGAAAAGGAAGCTGCATACATAGACAGCTGAGACCAACGTCTCCAGATAACAGCACACCAAGACCCTGTTACCAGCTGATTGACTTCCATGGCTGCCTGCCAGGCCAGGGTCTGACTCCTTAGCTAGAGTTCATCTGAAGCGTTCCTTTGAAGAGCAGACTCTATCTGATTGGCTGACCCTTTGTATTTTAGGGCTTATTCCCAGAAAGAGATTTCAAAGTGCGCCACGGAGGATTTTCAGACAGGCCTGTCTTCGATCTAAAGCATGTGCCGAGTACCAGGTATGGTCAGTTCTGTGACCCAGATCTTCCATTCAGGATGAGATAGCTGGAGATGCCCAGGGACGTCCTGCCTCTTTATCCCTACCCCAGCGCACTAGCACATGTGAGCATGTGTGCACACACACACACAGGTTTCACATACAAAGAAACTGCTGCTGTGGCTTCGCAGTCCCCCCACAGCTCTTTACTAATGTACCCAGCAGGTCACTGGGGAGTTGCTTCAGGGAACAGATCCAGTATAGGAGGAGCTGTTAATTTCTGAGAAAGCTGATGGTGGGTGGCTGGGCAGTAATAGCTCAGTTGGGAGAGGCTGAGAGTCTGGGTCAAAGCTTTGTGCTCAGACTCCACACTGGTGTGCTCTCTAGGGACCATCATGACATGTGAAAACCTGGGCTCAGTCCTGTGACTCTCCATGAACTGTGGCCTGTCTCTGAAGCAGAGTGTGCCTGCTCCTCATCTGTTAAATGGGGGTGGCTGGCCTTGAGGACCCTCAGTAAGGTTTCTGATAGGGGGAGTGGGTCCCAGACTGAGTGGGCTGGAGAGTGGAAGGAGCATATGTGAATGAGCCCCCCTGTCTGGACTAAGGTTTTCTATCTCTCCTGAGTAGATTGCTGGTGACCAGTGGCCTTCCAGGTTGTTATCTGCAGGTTTGGCAGGTTGCAGAGGACAATGGTAAGTGAATCTGACTTGGTGGGAATTGGGGTTCTGGGAAAGTTTGTAACACACACACCCTTGTCTTCTTTTTCTGTTTGAGTTGGAGTCTCACTCTGTCACCCAGACTGGAGTGCAGTGGCTGCTCCCGGCCACTGCAGCCTCGACCTGCTGGGCTCCGGCGATCCTTCCACCTCAGCCTTCCAAGTAGCTGGAACTACAGCGTGCACTACCATGCCCAGCTAATTTTTGATTTATTGTAGCGATGTCTCGCCAAGTTGCCCAGGCAGGTCTCGAACCCTCAGGCTCAGGCAATCCGCTCACCTCAGCCTCCCAAAGCGCTGGGATTACGGGCTGAGCCACCGAGCCCGGCCCACACCCTTGTCTTCTAACTTGAACTAGTTAAGTAGACTCTGAGCTGGTTGGGAATTAAAATGCAGTTATTTACTTCAATGCAGGCAAAGGTGAATTAGCAACTACAGCATGGCATCTAGGCCCCAAATGGAGCTTCCTGTAACCTACTCCTAGAATTAAATTCACCCAGAGAACTGCAAGCCTCTCCCCTAGGCAGGGGCAGAGGCAAAGGCAGAACTGGAACTGCTCAGGTGAGCTCAGCTCCTGGAGGAGAAGGCAGCATTGAGGAGGCTACCTCTCTTTGCAGGCATGCTGGTTCCAGGGCAGGAAAATAAGGAGTGAGCAAGACGTGGCTGGTCAGTCTCCCACTCAGAAAAGTCATTCTACTTCCTAACAGGAATGGAGAGAGGAGCAGGAAGTGTTCATTCTGGCTCTTCTGGGAGCAGAGGGAAGTTACCCTTGAGGAATAGTGTTCCCTCCAGCAGTGAGTTTGAGGTCCCCTGTAGAGCAGGCACCAGAGCATGTAGCCATCTGGCCCGATCCAGCCCCTACCGTCTCTCCTTCAATTAGTGTTGTTGGCCAGCATGGAAGCGTACCTGAGGGCCAGGCAACTGCTTTTGGAACTCTCTTTTGGTTGTGTGACCCTCTGCCTTCTGGTCCCCATGCTGCCTTACTTGGAAACTTCCTAGAAACTGTCTGGCAGCTGTTGGCTTCTCCCCAGGCTTCACTGCTGCAGAAAGGCAGTTCTTGTGCTCATTTGCTTTTTGAGGTCACTGTGGGCTCTCCTTGTTTTCCTTGTCACTTGTCCTATGCTATAGCTTTCAGTTGCTTGTATTACTCAGTTATGGTGGATTTTAAAAAAATAATTTTATTGATGTATGTTTTACATATCATATAATGTACAATTCAGTTTAACAAGTTGTAGAGTCATCACGGTAAATCAGTTTTAGAACATTTTCATCATACTGTTAAGATCTGTCATGCGGTTTACTGTTAATCCCCACTCCAGGCAAATCTCTATAATAGATTTGCTTTTTCTGGGCATTTCATACAATATGTGGTCTTGTGTCTGGCTCCTTTCACTTAACAAAAAGCTTTTGTGGTCAGTTCATGTCGTAGCATGTGTCTGCAGTTTGTTCCTTTTTTCAATTAAATAGTATTCCATTATATGGATGTACCACATTTTGTCCATCCATTCACCTGTTGTTGGATCCAATATTTGGCTGTTATGAATAATGTAATACTGCTACAAACATGAATGTACAAGTCTTTTGTATGGATATATGTTTTTGTTCTCTTGGGTAGACACCTAGAAATTTAATTGCTGGGTTGTAGGATAAATTTATGTTTGACTTTTTAGGACTTGCAAACTTTCCAGAGTGACTTCATTTACATTCCCACCAGCAGTGTATAAGCATTCTTGTTTTTCCATATTCTTACCAACATTTGTTACTGTCTTTTTTATTAAACCCATGCTAATGGGTGTGGTATTGTATATCATTGTAGCTTTCATCTGCATTTCCCTCATGATTAATAATATTGAGCATCTTTTCATGTGCTTATTAGACATTTGTATATTTGGTGAAATGTCTATTAAGATCTTTTTCCCAACCAGGTATGGTGGCTAATGCCTGTAATCCCAGCAATTTGGGAGGCCGAGGTGAGAGGATTGCTTGAGCCCAGGAGTTCTAGACTGGCCTGAGCAACAGAGCGAGACCTCATCTGTACTGTACAAGAAATTAAAAAAAAAAAAATTAGCTGGGCTTGGTGGTAGTCCCAGCTACTTGGAAGGCTATATGAAAGGATCTCCTGGCCGGGTGCAGTGGCTCAAACCTGTAATCCCAGAACTTTGGGGGGGCACCGAAGCAAGAGGATTGCCTGAGCCCAGGGGTTTGAGACCAGCCTGGGCAACTTGGTGAGACTTTGTCTCTACAATAAATCAAAAAATTTGCTGGGCATGGTAGCACACGCCTGTAGTTCCGGCTACTTGGAAAGCTGAGGCGGAAGGATCACCTGAGCTCAGCAGCTTGAGGCTGCAGTGGCCATGAGCATGCCACTGCACTCCAGCCTGGGCGACAGAGTGAGAGTCCAACTCAAAAAACAATAATAATAACAAAAAACAAAAACAAACAAATGATTGGGTTATCTTTTATTATTATTTTAATTAATTAGTTAATTTTTTCTTTGAGTCAGAGTCTCACTCCAGCCTGAGCCCAACTCTGTCGCCCAGGCTAAGTGCAGTGACATGCTCCCAGCCACCACAGCCTTGACCTGCTGGGCACTGGCAGTCCTTCCACCTCAGCCATCCAAGTAGCCAGAACTACAGACGTGTGCTACCATGCCCAGCTAATTTTTTGATTTATTATAGAGATGAGGTCTCTTCATGTTGTTGCCCAGTCGTCTTGAACCTGCGGGCTCAGGCAATCCTCTCCCCTCAGCCTCCCAAAGTGCTGGGATTATAGGCTTGAGCCACTGTGCCTGGCCTGTTTATCTTTATTGAATTGTGAAACTTCTTTGTACTTTCTGGATAAAAATTCTTTATATGTTTGCTAATATTTTCTCGCTGTCACTTGTCTCTTCATCTCCTTTTATTTACTTGTATTTTTTACATTCCCTTTTCATCTTCTTATGGTATCCTTTGAATCATTAAAGTTTTTAATTTTGCTGAGGTCCAGCTTACCAATTTTTCTTCTTAAGGACTGTGCTTTTGGTGTCATATCTAAGCAATTTTTACCTCATTCATAGATTTTCTCCTATTTTTTCTAAAGTTTTCTGTTTTAGCTCCAGTGTTGAGTCTGTGATCCATTTGAGTTAATTTTCGTGAGTGGTATGGGGTAAGGGTCTGAGTTCATCTTTTACATGTGACGTACAGTTGTCCCAGCACCATTTGTTAAAAAGCCTGTCCTAGCTAGGCGTGGTGGCTCACACCTGTAATCCCAGCACTTTGGTATGCCGAAGCAAGAGAATTGCCTGAGCCTACAGGTTCGAGACCAGCCCAGGCAACATGGCAAGACTTCGTCTCTACAATAAATCAAAAAATTAGCTGGGCAAGGTGGCACATGCCTGTAGTTCCAGCAACTTGGAAGGCTGAGGTGGAAGGATCACCTCAGCCCAACAGGTCAAGGCTGTGGTGGCCGTGAGCATGATATTGCACTCCAGCCCAGGCAAAACAGTGAGACTCTGACTCAAAAAAAAAAAAAAAAAAAAAAGCCTGTCCCTTCTCCATTGGTTTACCTTGGTGCCTTTGTTTAAAATCAGTTGACCATAAATATAAGCATTTATTTCTGGACTCTCAGCTTTACTCCATTGATCTGTGTTTCTATCCTTATGCCAGTAACTTGTAGTTTTTTCCTGTTTTTTTCTTTGTCCCAAAACTGGCCGGGTGGAGCAGCAGTGGTTTCAAGTTGAGAGGGAGAGAAGTCTTACCATTTGGAGGAGGCTTTTGTCCTTGCAGTGTATCGTTATCAGGTGTCACATGGAACCTGTAACCTTAGGCCTAGAGGAGCTAATGGCTGAAGGGTACTTGTTCTGATGCTCATATGGGATTTGAAAGTCAGATAGTCATCTTTCTCTAGATGTTAGTGCAGAATATTCCAGAGCTGAGGGAACACTGGCCATCTATTTTCCTAGAGGCCTAAAGGTATAATATTATCTTAGTGAATTTTCCAAGGTCCAGGAATTGACCTACAGCCTTGGTGTCTCAGAAACCTGATTTTTGTCAGCACATTCAGGAAAAACTGAATCTGTTTATAGGGGCAGACACACTCACCAGGCTCACTAGATGGCTGTATAAATCAGAATATAATTACATTAGTTGTAATGAAAAATATATATCATTAAAAGTAGAATATTCAGATCCTTATTCTTTGCCTATAGATGATCTGGCCTAATCAAGACTGTATGATCAGTGTCACCAGAATAAGAGGTTTTCAGAATGCTTTTTCAAGAGACACCTTAGCAGACAGCATGAAACTTGGGAAGGCATTGCTGTCCATGCCCCCGCCTCTATATAAGGTCTCTTTGAGGCTGTGGAAGCCACTGAGTTGGAGAAATGCAATATCTAAGAGTCTCAGCTGAATGTCACTTGCTGCTTCCCCTTGGAACTTAGAGATTCGTCTGTTGGTGCGGCTCCCTCTGTCCTGGATAGGCCCTGGCATTTTCTTTGCCTCCATGGCTGAACAGCCCCCTCTCGTGGGCCCCATTTGCCCTTAGAGATGTCATGACATTTGCTCAGTTTTGCAGGCCTGGGAGCTGTTCTGACTCCTTCAGGTACCTCTCCCTACTTCTGTTCTAACCAATTCCGTGTTGGTTTAATTTTCTTTCTTTTTTTAAACAAAAGAATAAAGTATTGTCTACTGTAGCTGTAGCTATGTAACAGGAAACAGGGTTAATCAATACAGCTGCCTACTGATGCCCTCGTTCCAGGTTTGTTCCCTTCTGTCTGTTCTGCTCTCCTTGGTAACAGTCTCCTTTTAGGCTGATGGCAAGGTGTCTTCAGCACTTCCACATGTCAGGTTCTGTTGCCTCTGCCAGCAGGTCTTAGAGGAGAGGATTCTGAAGCCTGGCCCAGGGCCTTGGTGTTCACCTTTTCCATTCACAAGATACAGACACAGGCATGAGCAAGCTTGTTTGCTGGGATCCCCAGGACCCTCAGGACCTGACTGTTTACTGTTCTATAGTTCTGTGTGGTACTGGCATCTACTTGGCTTCTGGTGAGGCCTCAGGAAGCTGCTTCTCATGGCAGAAGGCTAGGGGAGGTGGTGGCCTATCACAGGGCACAAGTAGGAGCAAGAGCTATGTTGGTTTAATTTTCAAGGGCAGCCTTCTTTGTTTTATTTCTAAGTTCTTGGAGGTGCCTCTCTTTTGCTTTGATTTTGTAATAATTTGTCTTTTCAATGTGAGGTTGGTTTGGTAAATTTGACATGGATTTCCTAGGGGGAAATTTTACCACCGGCCAGAGAAGATTTGATTTCTTTCCTACTGTAATTATAGAGCAAGTCGCCGTCGGGAGGCCCTCAAGCCCTTTTTTCCCACTGAATCTTTGAAATAGGTCTTCTTCCTCCCATTAGGAGACAAATAAATCATATCTGAGAACCATCCCCTGGCTCTCAGCAGTAAGTCCTGGGAAAATCTGTTCCCAGCTCCCAAAGTCTATGGAAAGGAAGAAGGAGCCTCTTCAATATGGCTATAGGAGAGTCAGGCAAGCTCTGCTGTGCCTGGCTTGTGCTGCAGCCTCACTGACATTCCTGGAGACAGGCTCTGTTCCTGAGGGCCCAGCTGTTGTGTCTGCTCCGAACCTCTGCGACTCCTGTGATAGGAGCAATTGAGATCAGCAAGTCTTAACCAAGGTCACTGAGAGCCCTTTGGGAGCTGTACTCAAGGGTCCTCTGCATTCTAGCCCAGCCCAGACACGTCCCTCTGTGCACTCCTGTGTGTGAACTCTCTTCAGGGAGCTTGCTTCCACATACTTGCCTGATAAGCTGTTGAGTGTCCTTCTCTCATCTGTTCCTTACTCATCTGACTCACACCTGTCTTTATTTTTTAATTTTTTAATTTTTTTTTGAGTTGGAGTCTCACTCTGTCACCACGGCCACTGCAACCTTGACCTGCTGGGCTCAGGTGATCCTTCTCCCTCAGCCTTCCAAGTAGCTGGAACTACAGGCACACGTCACCACGCCAGGCTAATTTTTTGATTTATTGTAGAGATGAGGTCTCTCCATGTTGCCCGGGCTGGTCTCAAATCCATGGGCTCAGGTAATCCTCTCGCCTCGCCTCGGCCCTCCACAGTGCTGAGATTACAGGCTTGAGCCATTGTGTCTGGCCCACACCTGTCTTTTAGAATTTTTAAAAAATACATAGATCTCCATTTTCTTCAGAGGATGTAGAAACCAAATTATGAGTTCTCTCTTGGAGCAATACAATCTAAAATGGAAACTATGAAATTCTCTTTAAGTAGTTTGTAAAGCAAAGGGCATCTATTAAGAGAAACCTCAGCTGGGTGAGATGGCTCAAGCCTGTAATCCTAGCATTTTGGGGGACTGAGGCGAGAGGATTGCCTGAGCCCTCAGGTTCGAGACCAGCCTGGGCAACATGGTGAGACCTTGTCTCTATAATAAATAAAAAAATTAGCCGGGCATGGTAGCGCACACCTGTAGTTCTGGCTACTTGGAAGACTGAGGCGGAAGGATCGCCAGAGCACAGCAGGTCGACACTGAGGCGGCCATGAGCATGCCACTGCACTCTAGCCTGGGCTATGGATAGAGACACCACTCAAAAAAAAAAAAAAAAAAGAAGCTTCAAATGCAGGCTACAGAAAAGAGAATTTGCCCACTAACCAAACAGGTTGAGATAAAACTAAAATTTGACTCTCGAGGCCAAATATGTCATTGTTCCATTCAGTCTAAAAAAGACATGGACTTTCTTGATGTCCAGTTTACATTTTAAGACAACAACATCTATAATGTAGCTTCTACTGCTAGGCTTTAGCAGATTGCTTGAGGTCATAGAACATGCTTTAAAGGAAATATCAGCTCATGAACTCAATACCTGTTATTTTTCATAGAAGGTATAGATGCCATCAACAGTGTATTCATTCCTTCCCTCCTCTTCTATTTGTTCTCCATAAAACTATAAAAAGGCAGGACTGCTTCTGAGTTTGAGATGCCTGCTATGATTCATTATCTTTTATGGGCAAAAAACAGTTCAGAAGACAAATTATAAAGAAATTAAAGAGCTTCTGATGGTTCAAATGTAGACATGACATAAATGTAGTTCATGAGTTTCTCTCGGCATCCATTCTCGCCAACTGCAGCTTCCTTTCTTCCTTGACATTCTCAACGTCCAGGGGAACAGCTGACTGACCATCACTGTGTAATGTTTCAAACCTTCATTAGCATTCTGGATTTTGGCCTTATCCCCTTTCCCCCCAGATGTCATTAAAGCTGTCAGCACCGTTCCTGTGCATGAGAAAGAGGGGACTCTCTGGCCTAGGGTGGCCATCTTTTCCTCAGTGGCACCCAGAGTCCTCCATGGGGTGAGGCTCAGCAGCCTGGAGATTGTGGACCTGGAGTCCCTGAAGACCGCGTACACCTCAGGTACTGTAGCAGCTCTCCCCAGCCAACACCCACCTCCCAGCCCAACTCAGCCACGCTCAAAACATAGTTCAGTCCTCGTGCCAGGTATTGGGGAAACACAGTGAATAAGAGGCGAGCCAAGGGCTCCTGCTTTTGTGGGGGGAAAGAGGCAGTCCCAGGGCTGAGCATCTACCCAGCAGAGCAGACAATGGTGAGATGAGTGGGAGGGGGAGATGTACTTCATTCTGCCTGTGTGGGACAAGACTTGTGACCAGCTAGCCCTGCCAAATTGCCAGACCCATCTGACTCCAGCAGCTTTTCTCCTGTGCCCTCGGTCTTCCAGGTGTCAGTGACAATGAGGAGCTGAGTAGCCTGCAGGTCCTAGATGCAGACACCTTTGCCTTCTGCTGCCCCTCAGGCCGGCTGGGGCTTGTTGACACCCGCCAGAAATGGGCACCATTGGAGAGTTGCAGCCCCAACCTTGGGTCTGGTGGACAGAGATGGTGTGCAGAAGTTGGGGACAAGGGCCAGGGTCTTGGGTCCAGCATCGCCAGCCTTGGCTCAAATGGGCAGCTCCGTCTCCTTGACCCCCGGAATCTCTGCCATCCTATGAGCTCAGTCCAGTGCCCAGTGTCCATACCTAGCCCCAACCCAGAGCTACTGAGAGTGACTTGGGCCCCAGCCCTGGACAACTGCTTGGCCATCTCAGGTATTGCAAAGTGGGGTTCTGTGTCTGTTATTTGATCTCTTTTGCAGGAGACCATAGGGAGCTCAGGTAATAATCTGACAGTAATAAATCTGACCCCAGAGGTTAATGTTGTCACAGGAAAGTTCCAGATGAACTCTCCAGGTTCTTCAGTGGCAGCGGGCCCTTCCTAACCTATCAGGAATTCAGGTCTGCAGTTGGTCAAGAGGCCTGCAGAGAGTAAGGTGCTGGGACAGCTGTGGGCTTGTACTAGGAATAAGAGGCTTCTCAGCTTGCTTGCTTTTCAAGTTGAGCAAAGGAGCTAGATCCGCAGGCTGCTGGGTCTTATCTGCTGGTAGGTGTCTGGTTGCCTCAGGGTACTAAGGAGGGTATCTCAAAGGCAGCTGGAAGGGCCCATTAACAGGGGAAGGGGTTGAAAGAGTCACTGAGAGAGCAAGGAAGGATCACTGGAAGTGCCAGGACCCAGCAAGGGCAGAAAAGAAGAACCTAGTGCAGGAATTGGCTCTTTAGTGACAGGAAGACAGCAGGAGAGATGAGTATGCATGTTACTAGATCATACAGGGACTGGATGGCACTCCTCTCGAGAGGCTTCTGTTTCCCTCATTAGGTAGGAGACAAGGCCATCTGCTAAGAGGGACTGGAGGCGGGAGATTGGAATTTAGGGCAAGTTGAAAAGATTTGATAAAGTCTCTTAAGTCTCACTTTCCTGGGGAAGATATCAGTACCTACTTCACACTGTTGGGAGGATTAAAAGACAAAATGTTTAGCCTTCAAGGCTGGCATATAATAGATGGACAACAGATGCTCTGGTTACAGGTCCCAGGAGTCATCAGGTGCCAACACCAAGAGCAGATGTTGCGTGCCCTTTGGTTAGCCTTGAAGTGTCTTGATTCTTTGTCCTAAAGTCTGTTCTGGTGCCATAGAGCAAATTATACAGAGTATTTTAGGGATTCAGTGTCAATCCTCTTCTCTCTGTTCCCAGGTTTTGATGGAACCATCCAGGTCTATGATGCTACATCTTGGGGTGGAATAGGGAGCCAAGTAGAACCTCTCTTCATTCACAGAGGTCACGTCTTCATAGATGGAAATGGGATAGACACTACCCCGCTGGTCACCACCCACACCTGGCACCCCTGCAAACCAAGGACTTTGTTGTCAGCAACAAGCAATGCCTCTCTGCACGTGTGGGACTGGGTGGACCCTCGTGCCTCCCGCTGACACCAGTGTCTTTCTGTCCAGGCCTTTAGAAAGAGGAGGAACTGCTAGATCAGCAAGGGTACTGACTAGGACTCGAGTGACCCAGGGCCTCAGTATCAGCGGTGTGGCCTTGGGCAAGTCACCCAGCCCCACTTAGCGCCAGTTTCCTTATCTGCAAAACAAGGAGAGTAATAACTACCTTGCAGGGTTGCTGGGGAAGTTAGAAGTCATATGTGGCACATGTTAGATTTGGTGACTGCTGTTATATCTGGGAGCCCCATTTCCCCAAATGTAAGGTGGCCATGTTTTGTCCCTGCCTTCTTCACCACATCCATAGTGAGAATTAGGAGAGCTAATGATTGGAAATGGACTTTGAGAACCTTTTTACAGAAGAAAAAAATGTATAAGGGCCCTAAAAATGAAAAAATGCCGATCCCAGTAGCAGTTAAGAAAATACCAGTTAAAACAAGATTATGCCATTTTTGCCTACCAAATTCCAAATGTACCATTATATAGCTTATACAAAAATTATTGTTCTGTTGGCCTTTGACCTTTTACCCGTCTGATAAGTGAAAAATCATCACTTGTTGCTTTAGTTTGTTATTTTATGTATGAGGTGGAGCTGTTCATGTATATAAAAGTTTTGGGGCACGTATTTTTTTTTTTGAGTCAGAGTCTCACTCTGTCATCGAGGCTGGAGTGCAGTGGCATGCTCACCACAGCCTCAACCTGCTGGGTTCAGGTGATCCTTCCATCTCAACCTTTTTTTTGGAGTTGGAGTCTCACTCTTGTCGCCCAAGCTGGAGTGCAGTGGCATGCTCAGGGCCACTGCAGCCTCAACCTGCTGGGCTTAGGCGATCCTTCCACCTCAGCCTTCCAAGTAGCTGGAATACAGATGCATGCCATCACGCCTGGCTAGTTTTTGAGATTTAATGTAGAGACAAGGTCTTGCCAAGTTGCCCAGGCTGGTCTCGAACCCCCGGGCTCAGGCAGTCCTCTCACCTTGACCTCCCAAAGTGCTGGGATTACAGGCTGAGCTACCGCGCCCGGCCTCACCTCAGCTTTTCAAGTAGCTGGAACTACAGACATTTGTCACCATGGCCAGCTAAGTTTTTGATTTATCGTAGAGACAAGGACTCACCATGTTGCCCAGGCTGGTCTCGAACCCATGGGCTCAGGCAGTCCTCTCACCTCTGCCTCCCAAAGTGCTGCGATTACAGGCATGAGCCACCACACCCAGCTAGGAGCAGGTATCCTTAAAGATGGTAATAGCCAGGGTGAGTAAATAGGCACTGTCATCCAGAGTCACCTGCAGTGCTGGGAGTTCAAGCAGAGATGGCCACCCTTCTCTCAGGCGGTTCTCACCGGAAGGAACATGGCTTTTACCAGCACTGTGCTTTCCCATACCTGTCTTCCAAGGTGACTAGGCTCAAGGGCCATTTCCTTTTGGTGGCCCTATAAACAGTTCCTTTAGAGGGCCCATAGCAAATATTAAAGTGCACCAGCAGCCTCATTAGATGTAATTTCTTACTTATTTTTACTTATTAAAGGATTTTCAGCAATAGTAATTTACTTTCGAAATTATTTGATCACTCGTCACAATTTAGTCTTTGATTTGCTTAAAAATAACACTATTGCGATACAATTCATATATCACATAATTCACCCATTTCAGCAGTTCCATGGGTTTTTTGTTTGTTTGTTTTTGTTTTTGTTTTTTGGTATATTACATTAATTGTTCTAACTGGTAAAATATATAACAAAACTTATCATTTTAACCATTGCTAAGTGTTCAATTTCATGGCATTAATTATATTCACAATGTTGTACAAACATCACCATTATATTTCCCAAACTTCTTTACCCCAAACAGAGGATCATGCCACTGCACTCTAGCCTGGGTGACAGAGTGAGACTCTCAACTCAAAAAGCATAAATAAAAAAGTAAAAAATAAAGATGTGGTGGCATACACCTGTAGCCCATGTACTCAGGAGGCTGAGGCAGAAGTATTACCTGAACCCAAGAAGTTGAGGCTGCTGTGAGCCATGATTGTGCTATTGCAGTTCAACCTGGGCAAGAGTGAGACTCTGGCTCAAAAAATAAATGAGAGCCTTCACAAGTCAGATGTGGTGGAACATGCCTGTAGTCCCAGCTGCTCAGGAAGCTCATTTGAGCCCAGGCGTTCACATCTAGCCCAGGCAACACAGCAAGACCTCTCTTAAAGACTCTGCAGAACTTTGCTTATTCAGGTATAGCATAGACCAAAAAGGTAAGTCAAAACACTTCTGAGCAAAATAATGGGTGACTATATTATTACACTTTTTTTTTTTGAGTCAGAGTCTCACTCTGTTGCCCAGGCTGGAGAGCAGTGGCATGCTTACAACCACAACCTCAACCTGCTGGACTCAGGCGATCCTTTCACCTCAGCCTTCCAAGTAGCTGGAACCACAGGCGTGCACCACCATACCAGGCCAATTTTTTTATTTGTTGTAGAGATGAGGTCTCGCCAAGTTGTCCGGTTTGGTGTCAACCCCCTGGGCTCAGGCAATCCTCTTGCCTCTGCCTCCCAAAGTGCTGGGATTACAGGCATGAGCCCCTGCACCCAGCCAATGACTATACTTTCAAATCAAAATTAAGATACTATAAAAATCACATTACATTGTGATTCACTGGAAAACATCTCTATGTAACTATCCAACCACAGTTTACTTCACTGTTGTAAATATCCTATTTGGGGTACTGTCAGCAAGCATTATTTAATGCAGTTGTTTAATGTCACATTGCTCTTAGGATTGTAAAAATACTTATGAAATACAATCTTCAGCTCAATTTTCCTATTATTTCACTAAGGGGAAAAATACATGTAAGATGAAACTGAATAAATATTATATTTGAGCCGGGCTCGGTGGCTCAGCCTGTAATCCCGCGCCTTTGGGAGGCTGAGGTGAGTGGATTGCCTGAGCCC